GGTGAGATGTACTCAAAGTTTAACGCACCAGGGTGAAGGGGAGTTTGATGCTGGAAGATATCAGTGTTGTCAAATAATACCAACAATTGTCTTCTTTATTAAATAAATACAAATCCGGATTCTTAGGGACATGATTTCAACAAAACGTCAATAAATCAAAAAATAATACATTTAAAATAACTCTTATGAATTGAATGTAATCTTTTTTTTAATTTGTATTTAACCTTTATTCAACCAGATAAAAAGCATTGAGATAACATCTCATTTACAATGCTGACATGGCCAAGAAGGCAGCAACGTTTACACATGTTTACGCATAAGACAGACATATAAAATACAGAGAACAAAGTAAACAAAAAAACAAAAAGACGAAAAGCAGTCACTACATTGTGCACATTTGGGACAGTAAGAAATGTATACTTATTACTGCAAGAGCAGCTGGTGGTAAGGACCTCAGACAACTTCACTTTAAAACAGGCTAGGGACAACAATCTTATACTCCAAAAGACTGTGACTTTCCTTTCTTGCTTTAAGGGAACAACAGCTGTTGTATTGTGGAGTTAATGATCTCATCCTAGCCCTGTCATCTATAATAATATTTATAATAAAAAGATAAAGACCCACTTCTAAAACCAGAAGCTCCACCGCTTCGAAGAGACTCTCACTCACCTCCAAACACGGACTCCAGCTCCCTCTAGTGTCCACATGGCGCAGGGACATGTGGAGGGGCCCCTGCAGGCAGAGGACGCCTCGAAGGACCCACAGCATCCAACTAATCTTGTAAAAGATTTAATAATGGGATTAGTTAGAATGGAAACGTTTGAAAACCTTTATTAAAATGAAGGAAATTAACATCTTGGTAGGGGTTTGTGTTGAGAGGAGATGAAGATAAATAGAGATGCATTTTGAGAATAAGAGACACATGAGAAAATATGATACATTGTGCTGGACTTTTAGTTTGGATTGGAGCTCAATTCAACAGTAATTCTCAAATTCAAACACGTTTGTTGCTCTTTTTTGTTAGAAATGTAACCAAAACGATCATAGAAAAAGGAGATTTTAGTTTATAATGCTTTTATTCTTCCCAAAAGTCATAAGGCTAACAAATATTGACTTTAAGCACAATGCTTATTTACTGTTATCTGAATAGGGTGTGTATTTAATTATCGCTTTTATTCACCTTCTAAATATGTTAGACTAATTCTCCTTATATTATATCTAACGTTTTATAATTATTATAACAGCCCTAATAAGTGACAATAGGGGCAGGAACAATGTCACTATTATTCATATAATTGGTGTTTTATTAAATATCGCCCGGCTGTTGGGAATTATTAATCCCGTGCAATAAGAGCGCGTGCCGATCAACGGCTCTAAATGAAGTTGGATCCGGTAAATGTTCTCCGCGCGGGCCGCAGTGCGCGCGAGCGGCCCGCACCTCAGAGAGCTTAGTGATAAATCATGTATTTTTAATGAATATCAATAGAAGGGACCCCCCTCCTTTCATAAACCAGGAGCCCGTCCGTCTAATTAGATTAAGCGGCGGTGAAGGGAGGGGGGGGGGTAGGGGGGGGGGGGCGGCGGACGGGGAATACTGCGGTAATGACTGCTATCACTGCAGCGACTTCTAATGGGCTCTGAAGTCAAACCGGGGGGGGGGGCTTTCAAACCATTAACACTGTGGGAGGGGGGTTGGGGGGGGTAATGTTACATGACACCCTTCTGTTTCAGCACCAAGTCTAACATCATCTCAAACTGGTGTGTTCATGGACCGTGGGACAATGTGGAGTGATGGCAAACACATTAACATAATCATATGCAAGGGATGGGAGGGTCACTTTATGAAATGTAACCTGATTACTTTCCGTTACTTTTGGATTACCTTAATATCAAATGAAAAGAGTTTGCATTCATTATTACAGTATGTAAGACAACAGAACAATGTGACCTTAGAAAAGAGGGAACCAACATATTTAAGATAAAACATGTGTCCTCTGAAATAAACCCAACCCTTTTAAAACAATCACAATATGCCTCTTTTTGTTTTTAGTAATATATGAATCGTGCTAGTACTTTCCCAAATATAACAGTAATCTGAATACAGTTACTTTTTTTGTATCCTGATTGGGTTAACTTGTTACATGTGATCCATTACATCCCTGGTCTACATATATTACAATAATATCGACCAATCATAAGTAAACATTTGTGTGGATGAATTACAAATCACACAAGATGAATCTGACCTACCCAAGTATCCTCTTTGGCCACCCAGGTGTCATTTACACTGGGGACATTTAAAGTATACGACTTGTTAAAATTGTGTTTTGAAAAAAACTTGCACAAAGAAATGAAAACCAAGAAGTGAAACATCTTTTATAAAAGTGTATTTGCACAATAAAAATACATAAAATGCAGTGTAAATATAGAACCAAGGATTCTCATCAACTCATAAATCTCCCTATAGCTTACTCATTTTCAAATGACCCAAAGATCCTCCATGATTTCAAACCTTTATTTAACCAGGTGGTCCCATTGAGAACATCGGTCTCTTTTTCAAGGGAGACCTGCAATGATAAGTAACCCTTCACATTTCTTGACACTTGTTTCTTGTTTTTTCCTAATCTTGGTATCTATCATCCTACAATACATTAAGGAAGGTAATTGTACATTGCATTATTACATTTATGCAGCAAAATGTGTCATATTTTAGGATTGTTGTATGCCTAACACAAAATACAGTACGTATACTAAACCTTAGTACTTTTCAAAATAAAGTTCCTTAAAGGATTACGTATGGTGTGTTCATTGAGCATGTTGAAAGTGGAGTGATGGGAAACAACTGCCCTATATCATCATCATCATCATCATCATCATCATCATCATCATACAACTTGTATTATACAAGTAATCGATAATAAATAACTGTTTCTTTGCATATGTGTCATATTTCAAGATCACGTGTCAAACCCTTTCCACCTTTTATAAACCATTGCACTTTTCAAAATAAAGTTTGGGGAGCCTGTCAGGTCCAGTTCTGCTGTTTGAGTACAACGGCTACCGGTCAAGGAAAGTCCTTTGGAAGTTATAATTGTTCTGATTGCCATTTTCTTTATTTCTATATTCATAATGTTATTCTCTAAATGGTTTGTAAACCGGATGTATTCACCTCTCAAGTAAACTGAAACTGAGGGGGGGGGGGGGGCGGGGGGTGGCGGGGTTCACAATTCATCAAACTCTCCATAAGATGGCGCCAAAGAAAACCTCTCTCTTTATCATGAGTTTGTGTGGTGGGTTTTATTGTATTTTAATACTATTACCTTGTTTAACCTGTTGTAAAATGTGTTTATCTATTTTTTTTGTAGCAAATTGGTCCATTACAGTGTATTCTAGCTTAATGTGTGTCATATGCTATGTATTTTATAAATACTCTCGAGTATTTCTGTTATAAGGTTTCTATTTTATTGTATTTTTAACTTGTAACAAGTCAAATATGATCATGTCTAATCTATGTTCATTTCACAATAATTGTCCCTTTCGGCACAGTAATGTTCTGTCATTGTGCTTAAAGGTAGGGTATGTAAGTTTGAGAAACCGGCTCGAGATCGCTAGAATTTGAAAATACACGACCGGAGAAAATCTGCCACTTCCTTATAGAGCCCCTCTTCCAACACACACGAACGCGCACATGACCAATGAGGGCACGAGTGCACAGATGCCGGGCCGGCTAAAATGATTGGTCGTGCTTTTTACAGTACCACGGCTTCCACCTTTATATATACAGTCTATGGCTTCCACAGATGAACGTTTTTTTATGGATTTGTTGTCAAAGCACTTAAGATATTCATTGCTATCGGGATGTTAAGAGCATTCCATGGAATATAACAAAAAGTGTATCTCGAGCCGGTTTCTTACTTAATCCCACTTTAATACGAATTATTACATCACTATAGTTTTAAGAATTGTTCACAAAGAAATACACATCTCAAATTGAAATTGTTCAAACCTTTTATCTTTTAAAACAAACAGTAGCCTAATATTCTCTTGATGGCTACACAAATTTAAAAAAGTGTCTTTAATTAAAATGTGCACGTTCTTGCTACCATATAAAACATATAGTTAGGATGATGATTAGGTCAGAATGTATTACTTGTGCTAAAAACTTAGACATGTTGATGATAAATATACATGGTATAATAAACACTTGGTCAGGATGGAATTGAAAAATCTGAGTGTAATCCCCAGCCCCACCACAGGGTGGCAGCAGTCAATCCACAGAGAAAATGAAACATTAATTGTTAAGGACTCACACAGAGCTGCTGTGTTAGAAGATGTTACAAATACATGGTAGTCTACCATTATAGTTATTGTATTACATAACTTCATTGAAATATTACTTACCATCATGTGTACTGCAACAACAACAACAGATGGAACCTATGGAATGGAATTCTATAATCTGGCATTTAGCATATTTTCTCTCTTTGAGATTATTGTTTCGTTTTGCATGAACCTTATTCAATAAAGATACAAAAAAAACAACATATTTTTTCAGCAATATTCTAAAATCTAATAGAACAATCTGATTGCTCGAGGGAGCACATCACGATGCTGACTTCCGGTCGCCCTAGAAGAAAAATACGTCATCACTGCACCACTCTATGTATTAGGATAATAGTGAAACAGAGTTGACTCTGTTTCACTATTATCCTATTATTATTATTATTATTATCCTATTCACCAAAGTTAACATCGATTTGTAGTTTTTTGTATAGGGTTCAGTGTAGGCAGGAAGCTTTACACTCTTTCCACAGCAGCTCCTCTCTTACCTTGAGTACTGAAGAAGTTGGATGCAAGACAAATCTGGAAGTTCATTCTTATATAGCAATAAAACCTCCCGTCTTTCTATGTGTATGTACACCAGTATCCCAATCACATTGAAACATTACACATATCACTTTGTTCACAATAATTGAGACCACTCCGTCAGAAAGCCATGATCTTCTTCCACAGTCTTTTATTTGTAAATAATAAAAATGAACTCTTGAATATAAAACATACACATCAGTAGAGCCACATCTGTTATACAAACAAGAACTGTTGCAGTGAATACTTAGTCTTTCGTCTAAAATCGTGGTTTTGGGGAGGGGGGGGGGGGGAGCCATGGGCTGTAAACAATCAGTATTCCTGGAGTAATACTGACAAAGGAAAGGGCAGTCGGCCACACCGCCGAGGGTTTCAACAGAAACATCCGCATGTCTGCAAAATCAAATTCTCATTGGCTTTAGAAGTCCAGTCCAAACCAAGAATGATACACAGGGGGGTGGGGGGAAGGGGACTTTGAGGAGAAGAAATTGTTCCAATTGGCTCTGCTTTTTTTTCTGCAACTGGGACAAAAATAAAGGCCTATTAGCGCCTCTTTGTGGCTCAGTGCCGCTCAGCAGCTCGAGCACATCCACAGGACGCAAATTCCCTTCCAACAGACCAGGAATGTTTGTGTGTCAGCCGTGTGTTTTATTCGGAACTCAAGGTAAAGCCGCTCATCCTGGTTTGTTATGTACAAGGTGTGCATGTGATGGGTGTACACTCTTTTTGTATTCATATATCTATATCTTTATCATTTCTGTCATAATTATACTTCATATACATTTAGCTGTTATACACACATTCTCTATCTGTGTCTCTAGCCCCGACGGTGTTAAACTACAGTTTGAACACCAACACCCTCAGATACGCCGGGGGGGTCCAGTATGCTCAGTACTACAGAACAGCACTGTTGTTCAAAAGGGTCCAAAGAAAAACCGGAACTAAGAGATTTTTTTTTTTGTCGAACACTTCCTCACAAGGATATCTGAAGACCCAGAGTGGGAGGCGTGGCCTGGGCGGAGTTTGATCCCCCCCCTACTATTGGTCCCCTCCTGTTAAAGGGGCGGGGATGGCTTGGCTTTTTCTCGGTTTGTATTCATATTCAGTACGAGCAAACTGTACAAGAACATGCAACATACAAGCTGGCCTAAAATTATGTGGAACTAATACACATAGTCTAGTCTTCTTTTTTTCTGTTTTTGTTTTTTGGAGCATCGTCTCGTTGATTTGTCTCGTCTTCTATTTTACAAAAAAGTAGAGAAACTAAACGAATAGAACGAAACAAACGGGGAACGTAAAATAAACATGCATGCAGCTTGGGGCCGGGTCATGCTGCTCCCTCCTACGGGGGGGGGGGGGGGGGGGGGTTTGAGAGGTGAGGGAGGGGAGGAGGCCCGGGGGTGGGGGTCGGAGTTCAGGGACGGGCAAAAGGGTGCGAATGTGACCTGACGTTTACTGTCGCACCATCGCTCGCAAAACCAAACACACACACACACACACACACACACACACACACACACACACACACACACACACACACACAACACACACACACACACACACACACACACAAAGGGAGTCTGCACCTCATGGTACCATTCTGAAACAAAGACTGAAAAATAAAAAATACAAATTTGGCCTCTATTTAATTTACCGTTTAGACGAAGAGTGAAACCGTTTTATTCTGTCCGAATAAAGAAGTCAAGCTTGTCTTGTGCTTGCTTTCATTTATCTCTTTCATATCTTTTATATATGTGCAGGCTCCCTTCATCTAAACAGGTTACCGAACCATGCTCATTTACGACCGTTACCACGAGAACACCGGCGGAGACAGCCGAATGAAACCGCCAACATTTGCTACTCATTAACACCGAAACATTGTTTACACCCCTCATTCCTGGGGCCTAGCTGCAATCTCTACTCTGATTGGCTATGGGGCTAATAGGTGGACGATTTGTCTGCTCTGCACGAGAAAGTAAGGAGGAAAAAGAAAGTGAACGTTGAACAAAAACTTCCACTGCTGCAGCTCAGAGGAGGAAAACGAAGAAAGCTTTGAAAACAAAAACGGAGGAGGAGGAGGAAGAGGGAAGGTGTGAGACGTGATTGTCAGACTCCAGCTAAGCTTTGATTGGCTAGTTCTGTCTCTCCCTCTCGCTCGTTCTCGCTCTCATTCCCTGTTGCTCCGTCTGGCCTCTCATTGGAGGACCGAGGGGCTCGTGGGGGCGTGTCCTCGCCCCTCTGCTCAGTTCTGGTCCAGTTAGCTCTGGTCCATTATTTTTGTCATTGAAGGGATATTTGGGGGGGTGGGGGGTTCACCACTCGGTCACTAGGACCGAACGCCCGGTGGCGGTCCTGAGATGTCCAATGACGTCTGAGATGCCAGCCGGTTGAGCGAAGCTAATGTAGGGTCCACCAATGAGGACGGCGGAAACAGTTTGTACCAGCTGATCACCGTGCTGGAGAGGTCCAGCTCCTCCAATAGGATCTGTGCTACACCCATAAAACATTTGTGGTCCATTCGTCCATAGTCTCCCCAAACTATCACCTGGAACAGAGAACGGTAGGGATGAGGTCAATTCAAAGCAAAACTTGAGCAAAACTTGATGCATACAAATTACTATTAAAATAGGTTTAGACCCGGCGAATGGACAATAGTTTCAAAGTGATATTCAAAAGTACTTTGGAGAAAAAGTTCGAGTCCATTTCCAATGGGTCCAAATCGGAAATGTTTTGAGACAAGACAAGACATGGTCGGTGTTATGGTTTGTTTTTTGGTAAAAAGTAAACATTCCGGATAACGTTTTAAAATTGAGATTGTATTTGTATGCTAGAGGAGGCAAAATTCGGCCCCCTATTTCTCATTTTCGTGTCAACTGAGACAATTTCAAAATAGGTCTCATATAATGAGAAAAAGGTAACGTTTTTTGAGATAGGGCCGATTCAAGTTTCAATTGTGTTTTTTCTATTTCTAGTCAAATCAAAAGTCTTTCAAAAACAAGTCCAACCTGAGGTCATTTGAGAAAGGTCTCACCTAACTGAAAACGTAGTCAAGTAAAATAAGTTTAACTTCTTTAAAGACAAGTCCACGTCCATCTGAAGTAAGTCAAATGAAGGCCAGGTCCATTTTTATAGTAAAAAAAAGAATTCCAAGTGAAAGCCGATGTCATGTTAGTCAACTTATTAATAATAACAATGTGGTCATTTCTGTTAAACCAGCACCTAAAACAAACACACACACACACACACACACACACACACACACACACACACACACACACACACACACACACACACACACACACACACACACACACACACACACACACACACACACACACACACACACACACACACACACACACACACACACACAACACACCACACACACCACACACACACACAGTTACCTGAAGCACCCTGCCCTGGGGACTCTCCTCAAAGAGCAAGTGCTGCTGGTAGAGCGGCTCCAGGGTCTTTCGTGCAATCTTAGTTTTCTTTTTGGCTTTACAAGTTCCATTATCCAGCAGGTAAACCTTGACATAGGGAGCTGTGGACGGAGGGAGATGGTTTAAAGGAAGCAAGAAGAGAGAAATAGGGAGGACGAATTGGATGATTAAGGTGTGGGGGAGGTGAAAAAGGGTGATGTGATGAGGAAGAATTAGAGAGGAAGAAGACTTGTTCGGTTGTGATATCAGACATGAGGCAGATGTGCTGTATTTATATCCCTGTGTGTGTGTGTGTGTGTGTGTGTGTGTGTGTGTGTGTGTGTGTGTGTGTGTGTGTGTGTGTGTGTGTGTGTGTTACCTGGGAGGGATTTGGAGCCTGCTTTGGAGGTAAGGCCTCGTGCCCTGATCACCTCGACCTCCAGCTGGCCTTTCTTATCCATCAGACCGATCTGAACATCACCTGTTCACATGCACATATTTGACATGTAAAACAGAACCTGATAGTTGTAGTTTTCGTATTGCAAGTAGAGAAATGCAGGCTATGGAATTAGCAGTGGATTTGTACGTGCTCAGAACAGTCTCATAATACATGTGAAGTTAAACTTCTGTTGTTGCAATGTTGAGGTAGAATGAAGGAGTCTGGAACGTCATTTAGCCAAAGCACTGAGAGTTTTATTGATCACAGTACATTAATACGGCCGGGGAGATCACTTAGTTTCACACTGTCCCGTGCTCCACCATCATGATCTCTGCCCCAGAATAGACCCAACACGCCTCAACATGAGGAGAGGCGGGCTAACAGAAGCCCGCGTTTACCTAATCAATAGCAAAATGGGAGACAATAATCTCCTTGTCTCAAAGAGATGCAGCCAGGTCTCAAACCTCCCCCACGGATATAGGAGAAGCGTTTGACCTGTGACCTCAACTTACAGAGGAGTCTTTGAGTGATACTACAAGCAGATGTTTGCAGTATCACAGAATCTAAGAAACTATAGGAAACTCTATAAACAGATCAGATTAAAATATTCTCTTACAATACACACATGCACACAGAAGGATTCACACTTGTATTTCATGATCCGCAAAAGGATTCAAACTTGTATTTCCGGATCCACACTTGTGTTTTTCAATGCACACACAAATGTGTTACGTTTCATATACATGTAAATAAAATCCAAATACAGAAAAAAGTTTTACATGTGTATTTTTGATCCTCACATATTTGTCTTCCGTTTAAAACCTCTGCACCTGCAAACACAAACCGCTTTCTGTGCACGGATCGCTGTGCATTCGTGTGTGGGTTTTTTGAGACTCCCCCGACGGTCAGCCGATTCGTACTTGTAATTTGTTCTATCTATAGCCAATCAGATGTCTCCTCAATTCTAAGCCAATCACATGAGCGCGCCCCCACGAGGGTAGATTTCTTGCGTTCATGACGTAGCGCTTCATGTACGCATTTTGCGCAGTCCGGAGCTGACAGCTCCATGGAGCCTGCCTGCAGGCGCTAATCTCAGGACACCCTCCACTCTCAGTACAGCGCCACTTTCCGAACAGGAAATGCACGCAAATACAATCTTATATATTATTAAGGTACAGCGCTACTTTCCGAACCATTGATGAATGCTTGTGTACACAAAAACGGCAGGCAAAACCGTTTTAAATGTGTGTTTCCTGTATGGCGAATACAGCTGCTTTATTTATGTCTGTATGAAGTTGTTGTGAGTGTGGAGGGAGCAGCTACAGGTTAGTTTAGCCTAATCGATCAGTGCACTACGAAGCCAGTGCTAGACAGTGAACTGTCAACGTGGGGGGGAGCCCCGCCGGTCATTATCGGCCGATATTCACTCTTAATAGTTTGATCGGTGCTCTCTATAAAGGCCGATCAGGAGAGCTGGATCTGATCGATATGGACATAAACGCGAGTGAAGTATAACCGGACGCGAGAGATAGATCAGATCAGCTGCTGAGTCTGATGGAGACACGCTGCTCTGCATGATCACCTGATGCTCCGCCCTCTGTTTAGCGAGCTGACCGGACAGCGCAAAATGCGTATATGAAGTGTCATGAACGCAATAAATCATACCCTCATGGGGGCTCATGTGATTGGCTTAGAATGAAGGAGACATCTGATTGGCTATAGATAGAAAAAATTACAAGTACGAATCGGCTGACCGTCAGGGGAGTCTCAAAAAACCCACACACGAATGCACAGCGATCCGTGCACAGAAAGCTGTTTGTGTTTGCAGGTTCAGAGGTTTTTAACGGAAAGCAAATATGTGAGGATAAAAAATACATATGTAAAACTTTTTTCTGTATTTGGATTTTATTTACATGTATATGAAACGGAATACATTTGTGTGTGCATTGAAAAACACAAGTGTGGATCCGGAAATACAAGTGTGAATCCTTCTGTGTGCATGTGTGTATTATGAGACTGTTCTGAGCCCATAGATTTGAGCTGTCACTCACCCATGGCAGGCGTGGCCAGTGTTTGTCGGCCCACCAGCTGACCGGGGCCTAACCCGTCCAGGAAGTCACTGAACTGACTGTCGGCCCCCAACCGCATACCTGAGAATATCAGACTGACACACGCACAGACACAAATGAATCAACAATTCCTACTTCGTCACTCAGAACCTGCACCATAATACCCGTTTTCCACTGAATTTAGTTCTGTTTTAGTTCCGTTTTGGGCTACTTGGGTGTGCAGTGGTTCAACTTGAGTCTGCTTCAAACAAGCTATATGTGAATAATACTTTTACTAAGACATTATGATAATATCCTCTTTGAATGTATCATAATGGCACCAAAGACAGAGCTCCAATGCAAAAGCACTGCAACAACACTCCTACTATTAAAGTAAAAAAAGTCGGAATTCTTAGATTAAAGGCACTATTCTGAGAAAGAAAATCAAATATTAGCAAAAAGTCTGATTGCTTAGAATAAAGTCAGGATTCTAAGAAAAGTCAGGATTCTGAGATTACACACGGAATTCTTAGAAGTCAGTATCCGGAGAATAAAGTCAGCATTTTGAAAAAAAGGTTAAATTCCTTAAAAGCAGTAATCATTCCGAGATCAGAATACTGAATAATAGCGGACATTTTGAGAAAAAAACCCTTTTTATTATACAAAAAAAAGTTTAAGAAAAAAGTCAAATTCTGAGATTTTTTTAAATTCTGAAATAATAGTAAGCATTCTGAAAGAAATGTCATCATTCTGAATCAGAGTCCTGACAGTAACGTTACTATTCTGAGATCTCAAAAACAATTCCCTTAAATCCTTAACTTTTCTTTCTTTCCTCAAGTTCCTGTTTTCTTGTGCTTTCACAATAATGTTTCTAATATGTTTTCATACCAGCCCCCTCGGAAAATACACCATCTCAGACACTTTGTGCTTTAATACAGTCCTGAAAACATGCGCTCTGTGTACGTACTTCCCCTCGGAGCTGTAGCTGTTCATGCTGCCGTCAGTGGACTCTCTGCTGGCCTGCCGGTTCATGGTGGACCCCCCCCGCGGGTACTCCACCGCCATGCCTGTCTCCACGCTCCTCTGGATGCTGCTGCTGGCGCCCTTACCCACCTTTTTACCTGCTGGAGCTTTTGAGGCAGAAAGAGGTGTCAAACAACGAGACTTTGCATATGACATTTTATGAAAGGCTGTTTTAAGGCATCTCAGGTCAGACCTATTGCACCTGCATACAGAACACAAAAGATCTGCAATAGAATACTTATTTTCATCTTCGTCATTCTTTAATTATCAATTCTAGGTAGTCTCTGCCATGCCTGATAACTATAAGCATCAATATGCATCCCATGCAAATAAATACCCCATGGTGACCTCACCAACATTTCAAAGTGATGGATAAATACCATTTAGACGAAAGCTAAAACACTTTTTTGTGTTAAAAATAATTTTAAAATAGGAGGGAATCTCATGTAGGTGGTGAGGTCACTTCAGGAAGATAACGTGGCTTAGTCACTACCCCAATTTTAGTGTTTCGCAGGGATGGAAAAGGTAAAACTAAAGAAATCTTACAGTGAAAATTGGTATTCAAAGAGGGAGTTCAGATCTTCTTAGAAGCCTATTTTTTATCATGAAAACATAGCCAAGTCAAAAAGAAAATCAGTGTTTCAAAGTGAGTTATTTTTGGTTTGTTAAGTGATAAAAATGTAAAGGCAAATATGACATGTGTGCTGCAACAGTTTTGAATTTTGATTAAATGATCTTGATATCAGGCTTCTTAAAGATCTGAACACCGTGGTGACAGAAGAGGGTGGAGTAAGGAAGGAGGTCTCTCAGAGCTATTCTACAACTCTCTATATCCGGCAGTGGCTCAGTAAGTAGGGGCTTGGACTGGGAGCTGTAGGGTCGCCGGTTCAAGTCCCCCGAACAGACCTAAATATGGAGGTCCCAGTTCACCTCCTGCCCTGCCGTGGTGCCCTTGAGCAAGGCACCGGACATCCCCTTCCCCCCTCACTCCCATTGCTCCCCAGGCGCTGTACAATAGCTGCCCACTGCTCATAGTACTAGACTCCTGGTACTAGGATGGGTTAAATGCAGAGAACACATGTCACTGTGTGCTCTGCATGTGTGACCATTACAGAGGGTTTCATCCCTCCCAATTGTATTCTATCATTCTCTCTCTAAGGCTCTTTGTCTGCATCTGGGTCCCAGTGCATTGTGATGCTATCTTAACTGATTTCTAAATAAACATCAGTGAAGTCAAATGTAACAGCTGCTACATATGACTTTTTTTTCAGAAATCTTAATTTTATCTGAGAATTCTAAACTTTTTTCTACAAATTCAGATTTTATTCTGAGAATTCAAATGTTTCTTTCCAAGAATTCTGACTATCATCTGAGAATTCTGGCTTTTTTTCTTAGAATTCTGAGATTAAAGCCAGAACTATGACTTTATTCTGAGAATTCTGATTTTAATCCGCAAAGAAATTCTGACTTAAATCTGAGAATTGAGAACATTCTGACTTTAATATCAGAGCTCCAAAATGAAAGTCAGTTTTTCACATTTGACACTAATCCTCTTCGTACTTGCCTGTATTAAATCCATGAATATAAATCAGGGAAGTCACATTTAACAGCTGCTACGTACTACACCTAATCCCGCTACATAATACACTACCATGCTTATCGCTCATGAACTAACAATGCATGTTAAACCTCTGACTGACTGTCTGTCTGTCTGTCTGACTGACTGACTATTGCTTTACCTTTCTGTCTTTCCACCGCCTTACCCGCCGCCTCTGAAATAACACACACACAACAACAACAAAGCCAATAAACAACATCATCAGAAACAACAGCAACAGTGGTACAAAGATGTAAATGTGTCACAGTGTTAGTAACTTGTTAATGTGTATTTATTTTCACAGTATGTAAATGTGTGTTTTGATATTAGAAATGCATTCATTGATGCATTTGTTTATCAAAAGCAACTCTTGAGGCAATCAGTGATACAAGTTAACATGTGACAGCTCTATGTGTGGGACCCACAGTAATATACTGCCTAGCAGTGCAATGTCAATGGACATTTAACTGTATTATATTGCAAAATCACTCGTTTTTCCCACATTTGTTGTATCGAATTGACCGGTAATTTCTGATATGTTCATGTGCAATGCCAACTTTTATATTTAGTAGGTCAAGCAAAGCTCACACAGGGACAGGGCCAGCTCAGGGGTCGTATAGGTGAGACTCAGAAGAGGTAAAGGCATCATTTACAAGACCTAGCTGACAGTATGCGGTGCTGTGTTTGTGATTTACTGAACGAACAAAGTAAATGGAATGTATTTTAAAGTTATGCAGCACTCCCTTTTGTGTCCAAGTGTGCAACATATATCATACAAGATTCAAGAGGGCTTTTATTTCATTTTTTTTAAAATTGTAAACATTTATTTATTCAGGGGGTTTGCACTGATAGTAATGCTCTTTTTTTCAAGAACATATTTACAAAGTAAGACATGAGGACGCGTCCCATACAATCACAGTCGATCTGCTGGTCACTGAGCAGATCAAAGAGAGCAAACTAAATGACTGCCGTAGGATATTTGTTTTAGACTTTCAACAATACTTTTGACAAGGGTTGACGAGAAAAAGTGTGAATTATAAATGGTTAACTAGAAAATGCATTTCCTGCAGAAAATGCGTGCGAATGCTGTAAACTGAGAACATTTGTGGCTGAATTTAGCTGAAAATGCAGAAAAAGCTGAATATGTTGCTAGCTGAATGGTAGCTGCTGTTAGCTACAGAAAACAAGTTAGTGTGTTGCTGAACTTAGCGGAGAAATGCAGAAAAGTGAAATGATTTGAATCAAATTGTTACAGCTCAAAAGCATTGCAATGACTTTGTTGAAAACTTGAAAGTGAAATGTTAAACTGGAAGAGGAGGAAAAATAGTGAAGAAGCTTAATATTTAAAAGAAATGTTTAAAAAAGGTATAAACAACAACATGTATAGCCTCAATGTCCTGAAATAGCTGAATAATGTAATAGTTGAATGGTTTCTGCAGCTGAAAATAGGCTGAATGAGTTACATATCAGATGTAAGTAGTAGTGAATGAATGTGTATTAAGAAGAGAAAATAAAGTAAAAAGGCTTGGGAAAGCAGCAGAATATTTTGACTGCAAACCTTTTGACTAAAACCATACGTCACTAATAATGTATAAAATATGTGGAACATGTTGAGGTCTGTATGAAGTCTCCATCAGACAGAAAAGAATAGGCTGAGACAGTCTGTTAAAGTCCAGTCTGTTTGTCAGTGTTTGTTTCTGTGCTGAGCACCTAATCATAACAAATAATCATAACACCTGTGTGAGCCCAGAGATCAAAGGTTTCCATGGTGATGTGCAGTAATCAGTCAGAGGAGAGCCTTTCCATTGTTCTGAATGAGAAATAAACCTCTTACATTTGAACGTTTTGTTGAAGAACCGTAGCAGATATCGGTGAAATGTCAACGCGTGAAGCATCTCAGGATCCTGACGAGCGTCTGAAGTGTGCTTTTTGTGTACTTTCGGGTCAATAATGTGGCCTTTTTGGCAGATTAACTAAAGGTGTGCGGCTGCTGCTGTGAGGAAAGAGCAGGCTGTATTTACAATGGGCCTTAATGGAGACATGTTGAACGTTTTTGTCACTTCATGCCCTCAAGAGGCATTTTGTTTAATTATTTTGCTTACATTTTTTTATTTTCCAACCTAGGAGAGGTTTTCCTACGTTTTTCATGAAAGAATATGTCCAAGGAGTGTAGGGTTTGGGAATTATGGCAGGTTTGCAAAAAATATTTGAGCGAATTTCAAGCACTCCTGCTCTCTGTTTTGAGATCAAAGCACTCTAGCCTTAACGAGCTGCACAATACACACTAATGTTACAATCTGAAGAAGGCCTCTTTACCAAGCTCCAAACTAAGTTAAATATCTCAAATAGTGTAAAATATATCACAAATCTGAATAAGATTGGAATAGCTGAATGTCTTGTGATCATTTTAAAGTTGGAATGAAGTCTCTAGTATGTGGAAGGAGTAGCATTTGGCGCACGGTGTAGTTAAAAGAGGATTTGAAGGTTCCTCCCATTGAGAAAGCTGTAATTAATGGGAAACAATGGATTGGTCTTGGAAAATCGGATCCTTGCAAGCTTCCCTTTTGGCAGCTACATTTGTAGCATGACGTCTTCGAGTTTGCTAAAAACCCACTATTGAAATGAGCACGTCGATTCTGAAACAACATATTGTGCAGTCTTTACACCATAAGACTTTAGGAACTCTCAACCAGTCACAGCAGTAAAACCCAGCTTCCTTTAGACATTTTTTCTACCCATTAGTGTTACTAAGTATTCCCCACCCAAAGGTAATATCGAAACAGACACTGTAATTGACAGCCACAATTATCCCCCTGAGATTGTTTATTTATTTTTCAACACATAAAAGGATAGGCCATCTGAATGATTTTAAACTAATTGAATTTGACATAAAGGCACTCGATCGCCTTGCTGCTCCAACTTAATAAATATTTGATATGAACCTTTGTGTTCGTCTGTCTTCTTCCAAAGGCAAAGAAGGTGATTTAACGCTCAATATTATACAGAATAGATGTCATTGGTTGCCAATCTTCTTGGCTTCTTGTATTACTTATTTACGGTAAGCACAATAATGTCCTTACTATTATAGTGGTGATGATCCTTTGATGAATGTTACACGCAACAACTTCAAGAGGCATTCCGTAAAGGGGCAAACAGTTGGTGGTGTAATGTAGTTTATGCTAGGCAGGATACATTTGACCTGTTTCTGCTGTACAATATATTTTAGTGTATGTTATTTGTTTCTGCAGGCATTAGTCTAAGTGCTCTCACCTGTCTGGCTGAGCTGCGAGGTGCTGCGGCTGCGTCTCGATGGCAGGATGGCGACAACACGTTGGCTGAGGCTCGAGCGCCGCTTCTTGAGTCCGCTCCCAAGGCTCCCGAGCGCCGTGTCTGATTGGCTGCCGTCGGCATGGTCCATGCCGTAGATCTCTCCGCTCACGCTGGTGCTCTTCATCATGTGGCGGCCCGTTGCCCGCATGGCCCTGCTGATCATTAAATGTCACCCAAAAATAAGTTAATTTGATGTGAATTAATTCAAGTTAACATAAGCAAGACCACACAAAAAGAAAAGTTAGAATCTAAGGGCCTGTGTGCCTTTTTCTGAGTGAGTGAGCTGTCGTATGAAATTGGCTCGAGAAAATGTCTGCCTTTAAACTACTTTTTCTGAACACTTTGCCTTTTTACAGCAGCTGCTCCGAGTTGAAAATATCTCAACTTTTTAGAAAAGCGCTAGCGACTTAACTTGGAGGAGAAGCGTGTGTTTGGACGTGTCTTTCAGAAAGAAAGTTATAAGAAAGAAGGGAAAGCTCATTTGTTTGAGCAGCCATCAGTAATACATTGTCCCATAGCCTTGCCAGCATATTTTCTATCAGATAAAGTCTCTTTTCAAACACAGGTCCCTGGTGAGTGAGAAGGTGTGCGCACCTGAAGCGTCCCCGCGGTCTCTCTGACTGGATGGACATGTAGCTGGTGCTACTGATGCGAGAGGCACTGCTGGTTCGAGAGATGGCTGACACGTCGCTGACATCACTGTCTGAGGACCTATGGGAAACGTTCTCACTGCTCCTCCTCTGGTCCTTGTAGAGCTGCAGGAAACACAAATGATGCTAAATGCTGCTAGCACAAGATACGCAAATACATGCACAAAGAATCAATTAAATAAACAAACTGTCAGGGCACTCACACCCCTTTTCCACTGAAATTAGTTCTGTTCTAGTTCTGGAGTGGGACGCCACTTGTGGTCCACCAGCGTTAATCCTACCGTTTGCTAACGACAGCTGCGGGTTTAAAGTAGTAATTCAGTGCCTGACTGTCGCAGAACTAAAGTCCCCAGATGCATGTTTCCCCAAAAATGTATATTCTGGTTCAGTTGAAGTACAATGTTTGACATTATAGCAAATAAGTTTCTCTCATATTTGATGGATGATGTTAGCAAAGCCACCAAAGGCAGTCTGACAAATCAATAACAAGATTTCCAGCCTTGTTGCAACCATTGTGGCAATTGGAGTTCTCTACTGGCTTACTTTACCTGTATATGTTTCACTTTGATCTTACTTGTGATAATCTGATATGACAATTATATTTATTGATTACACCAGTATCAAAATAACAACAGAAAAAGGGCTTGTGCTGCTGTTCCGAACGGTCAGTTCAGTTTTCATTAAAACTATGGAGGAAACATATATAATACGTCTTTGTACACCTGGGTAATCAGCTCTACTGCTTGTAAAAACGCCCTTCTCTTCACCGTACTCGCCATGAACTGTTATTGTTCATGTCAATCCCTCCTCAGTTTCATAACCCTGCAAATAAAGTGTGCGGTTCTTGGATCCAGCCCAGTAGATTTTTAGTTCCAAATGCAAAACTGTTTTCTTCTTACGTGACATTTATATGGGACAAACCCTGTAATGCAAACATTTGGATTTTACAACAGAAAGCTATTGTAGATCTTTATCAGCCATCCATTCATCCCTGACATGTTCAGTCCATTTGTGCTGACAGTTGTAATAGCCTACTGTAGTAATGCATCACTAAGACAGCACTGACACGACGCATACAAAAAAGGGAAACCACTCGCATGCAAATGTTTGACAGTCACGTTATTGCCATTACACTGTTAGTTCGCTATACAGTAAATTAGAGAAAGAAAACCAGCAAGTATGGATTATACACTTCTGCATTCTTAAGGGGCTACCCACTTGGAACCAATGTGTTTCGTTGAGTGGTCTTCCCCATAACTGTGAGATAATTTATGACTCAGACAGTAAATGCAATTCACTGCGATGTACTTCAGCAACATTACAGCTGAAGCTCACTGCCTGGAACCCTTATTGTCCCCATCCATTCCCCTGATGAGTTGCTTTTAGAGTGATAAAGGAAAATGGTGGCCCACCTCCCGTTTGTTCTTGAGGGATCGGTCCAGGTCCTGTTGGCTGGAGGTGGTGGCAGCTGACACCCGGTTGGAATGAACCCTCATCTGGAGCTGTCGAACACACTCCTCTGCTACCAGGGCTATGAAATAAGAACAAACTCAATACACTCAAACAGACACTTCACTGTAAAATAGCCCTGTAAGCAGAACTTAAACAGTCCGTCCTGAAAAAGCTTGGTTGCTTATCAGCCTGTGGACTGATTTCTGTGTATGAGTTGGGACCCCCTTTATATATACAGTCTATGGTTGGGACTTTTTAGCCTGGAATCTCCAAAGGATGTGATTTGAATGCCTAGATGATCTTCAGCTCCCCTACAGTGCCACAAGTGTGCAGCTAACAAATCAAAATACTGTCTGAGGGGGATACGTTAACTGGCTAGCTTGTTAAATTGATTCAGCAGCTAACTTTATCCATGATACAAGCATGTGTTTTATTTTAGCCAACAGTAACCGTACAAAGCAAAAGTGTATAACCAACTACTGCTCTGTACTAGCAAAGAGCGATGCTAGGCAGTAGCAAAGAGCGATGCTAGGCAGTAGCGGCAAAATAGCTAACAGTAAGCTAAACCAAGATTAGGTTAGCCGGCTAGCTGTTCATTGGTTACACAGCATGGTTCTGTTGGGGCTGCTTCATAACATCAGCTCATAAAGTTATGGTAAGTAATAAAGTCATTTGCAGATGCTACAGTAGCTAGCAAGTTAGTAGCATCGAGCAATGGGACCAAATTAAATGCAGGAACCTTACAGATTTTACATACTTAAAAGGATTCTGGCCACATGCAAACTTTCTTTTGAGATCTGACCAAAAGTGAATAATTGTTTTGAGTTCTGAGATTAAAGTGAGAATTCTGAATTTAAGGACTGAATTCTGAGAAAAATGATAGTAAAAGTCATAATTCTTTTTTCTCTGAATTCTGATTTGAAAGATGGAATGATGACATTTCTTTTCAAAATTCTAAGTTTAAAGTTGAAATTCAGAAAGACGGTCATATTTCTGAGAAAGACAGAAAAAGACAAAATTATATTTTCTCTGAATTCTGAATTTAAAGTTGGAATTCTGACAACAATTCTGAATTCTTAGTTTAAAGTTGCCATCCAGAAAAAAAGTCAGTATTCTGAGTTTAATTTCACATGTGGCCCTGATTCTCTTTTGTAGTAGGCCTACAGTTATTCTAAATATGATTGTAATCTAATGTTAAATAGCCATGGCCTGCCGTTTGCTTAACTGCAACCAGGGCTGGATAACAAATACGTACCTGCACATTGTGTGTCATTTTCAACGCTTTACAAGATGATGTACAAAGTATCCGGCACCTAGACTTATACAGTTTTACACACATAAAATCACTATACCTTGTTCTACGCTGCTGCTCTTAGGGGGGAGCTGTGGGAGCTGCCGTACTCTGCGGGCTGAGGAGGACGTCACTGAGGAGGAGAGAGACGCACCACCTTGGAGATGCCCCCTAACACAAAATAACGTGAAGGCAAAGCATACAGAAGGTGGGGGAGATGGAGAGAGATGGAGATAGGGGAGAGACGGAGAATGAACCAAAGCAAGTACAAAAATAATGAAAAAAGGAGAGAGAAAATAAACTTAATGTTAATATAAAGGGTGAACACTGTGGCACAAGGCAGGTCAGAGTTCACATTTCTTGAGTTCAATACGGACAGCATCATTTTTGACATTACACTTGGTTGAACTTCACAAAAAAAAAAGAACAAAAGCTGAGCAAACACAGCTGCTGGAACCTGCTGTCATGTCATGATTATCGTCTTAGGATGTTTAGATACAGAATGTGACTAGGAACAAAAATAACTGCTAAAATATTTTACTAGCAACAACATATTCAAGTGAAGCTCCCTCAAGTTTACAGTGAGGGATTCTGTTGCAGAAAGAGCAGCAAATAAAGATTGACCTATACCTCATTCACACCAACACAACTCCGATTCAAGCTCCGTGCTAGAGCTTTTCAGGTTCAGCACTGGTTCTTCGGTTTAGCTCCGGCTCTTTTCACACCGCCCAGAGTCCGACTGGTGCGTCATTGCGTCATCGTTTGCGTCATGACGTAACCGTTTGCGTGCCTGCTTCATAAAGCCAAACCACGCGGAAACCCCTCACAGCTGACACCGTCATCCGATTGTGCTCCAGCTTCCTCTGTACCTCTTCAGAAGACCAGATTCCCAGTAGGTAGCTGGTCTCTTCAGTGGACCACTGCTGCTTGTTAAGTTTCTCCATCGTTGTGTACAAACTGGATAAAACGCCAGCTTCTTGTTGTTGTTCAGGAGTTGATCCCGCCCCTGCCCCCGCCTCGACGTAAGCGTGACGTATGTGGTGCTTTTGCTCTGGCGGGACAATTTTTGGTGCTCGAAATGAACCGGATTCCGGAGCTAAGAGGCTGCTCCGCTGCGGTGTGAACAGGAAAACCCGGTGCTTTTCAAGCTCCAGCTCAGAACCGGCCCTGAAACACCGTTGGTGTGAATGAGGTAACGGTGGAAGAACACAGAGCAAAGGTGAAAGCCTTCCAGAACAAATCCCACCATCTCTGCACACATCCATTCACTGTGTGCCATTCATATGGCACACTCAAGAACAAGGGTTGTTCAGAAAACCTGTCCCATAGTTCAGTCTATAAAAAGTTTTTAAAAATGTAACACATTGCTCCAATCATATCCAACTGCATGTTCTTGATAAATGTATAATTAGTCTTTTTCTTCCAACTTAATTTCGACGCACCAACAGCTCTATTTTAACCAACTTACTTTCAAAATTGGCAGTTTACAAATAATAGGATAGAAAATGTAATTACTGCTGCAAATGTATGAATTATGTCAAAAAAAAATCATAATGGTGTTTGAGGAATATTGAAACAAACCAAAATATTAAAAACAGGGATTTAGCGAAAACACAACACTTACCTAACAGCTCAGAAATGACTAGACAATGACTTTGAGAGTCCAAAAAAAAAACACACATACAAAATAATAAACAAACACACAACAACAGCAGAGCCCGAGGCTGTGATGTGGCAAAGACAGAAACACACAGAAACACAAACAGGTAATCGTATGAATGAATGAGAGAGCAGCAATGTCTGGTTCCTCTCCACCACAGTGTCTACTATCAGCTGCCTCGGTGTCAGTGGGTTAGACTCAGGGCAACAGTTCAAGGGAACCCCCTTACCAAGGGGTAGCAGTGGGGCCTTCTTTCCTCTGGAGACCCTTAAGATGGATGTGGGCTGTATTCTTGTAAACGCATACAAACACACACACACACCCACATTCACACAAATGCCATACAAACCCAAAGCCCCGTAATACAGTGTAGAAGCAGCAGCATGCAGGGGAAGAAAGATGGGATCGAGGAGACAAAAAAGCGACAGAACACATAAATAAAAAAAGTCATCCGAATCACGTGACATTCAAGTGAAATGTCTTGATGACTAATGGATGGATTGCCAATACATTTCGCACATGGCTGCTTTGCCCTCACCGGAACTGACTATCACCGCTGTTAGCTAGCTGGCTAGCTAGCAACAATCGTTACGCTATAAAATTAACGGCGGCTTCTTTTCAACACCAGTATAGAGGTGCATGAGCGTTAGGGGTGTGTGTTAATAGTGAAATAAACTCACATATTTAACTTTTATTTGTATAGTGTTGTGTTTACTGTAGCAACCAATCGCAGCTGGTCGCCTAACTTCCATTACATAGCCAAGATGGCAGTTGTTGAGAGTTAGAATCGTTCAGCGATCCACATTTAACATTTTGAAAGCATCATCCCGGTACTAGTAATGCACTGCATTTGGCCATGCCTTACATTGTAAGTACAAAGGTACGCAATTTCAGACAGCGTCTTTCTCTAAAAAGTTGTGTGGAACTTTCCAGAAACCATTAACTGTTTACCCAAAAAAACAACTGTTTAGTTTCTACAAAAGCACTCGGAAGAAAGAAGCATCTTTTAATAGAGGAGAGGCTTGTTACAGTGCCAAAACATCAATGGCGTCTTTCTTGACTAAGCTGTAATGTTAGCTAGCTGAGCAGGAGCACGCTTACTTCTGCATTTTATTGGGGTAGTAGAAGAACAATTTAGAGGAGACATTGCTGTTGAGTTTTTAAAATGTATCAAATGTTGGGCGTTTTCGAGCAGAGAAGCTGAGAGGCATTTAGTTGTATCATATTGAAGAGAAGTTGACATCTAAAACACTCAGCAACTCACACCAAGACAATCTAGACTGATGAAGGTTATGGGAAGAATATGTGTATAACATTTTTGCTCTATTTTTGATTTTGGGGTTAAACTGCCATTTTAATAAAACATAATTTTTGCTGTTTTGAAAGGTTACCATATACTTATTTAAAATTATTTTCTTGTTGGTCGTGTAATTTCAGGCTCCCGTCAATGCCCTCCTACACTAATGTTTGACATGTGCTGAGCCTACAGTACATGTCTTACCTGCCACTGATAGGGAGATTCCTGCCAAGAGTGTTATACTCGGGTGTCTCCAGGGTCCGAGGCTGCCTGGAGAATGGTGGATGAGGAAAGGGAACAATACACAAAAGGAAAACAAATTATGGATGGATGGATGAGAGGATGGCAGAGAGCATGATGGAGGATACATCATTTAGATTTAGAGTAGTCAGACTCTGTCAGGGGGCTGTCATTGGCCTTACAAGTTTATGATCTGGAAAACAGGAAATAGGAGGCATGCTGTGATGGATGGTGTGATTGTGATATGAATAAGAGGTGTCACACACTCGTGCTTCATCTGTAACTGTGACTGTGTGTGTGTGCATGTCAGTGAGTGTGTACCTCTTCTTTGTACTGAGGTGAATTAAAGTCTCTTGAGTAGGAAGTAGCATCCATATTCTCCAGTCATGGACATGAAGATGACAAGGATGATACATGCACCATCACACACACACACACACACACACACACACACACACACACACACACACACACACACACACACACACACACACACACACACACACACACACACACACACACACACACACACACACACCTCATATGAATTATGGACATCATGAGTTCATTGCCGAGCACTAAGCCTTGAAAAAGTGTGACTTAAAGACTGAGAGAAAAACGAGCACACAGAAGCTGCAGATGCAATTCCTAGGACAAAAAGTACACCCATAGAGAGGAAGCAAACTTAACAAGGCGGGATTCAACACCATAACCAGTACAATCTACTACGTTCAGAAGAGAAGAACCAGTAACCAAAATCTCAAAGGCACCATAGAAAAATAACAAGACAAAGCTTCGGCAACAACAACCACAACCAGGGACGAAAACCTTGGCTAGAACTCTGCAACAAACCAGATAAACAACACCCACGAGCAGAAAAACCAAGAAATACAAGCAACCATTGCACAATGCGAGTGACAAAGTATGAAACAAAGCTTGTTTACAACATTGCATATGGTGGTCACTTTCACTGTGTCCTGCTAATGAACCACAAACCAGAAGTGTAGGTGTTGCGACAGGAAGCTAAATTGCGAAAATAGTTAAGAGTAGCTTGTGATATTATCTTGTATTTGGAAAAACAAAGTGAAAACCGAAATGAGCCCGCCTAGAGTGCTGCACGTGTATGGCCCCTGAGCGAGTTCAAGTAGTAATAGTTTGACAGCTTTTTGGCTTTTTGGCGAGACTTAGATGAGAAGATTGATACCACCAGTGTATATTTTTTAAATATGACGCTAAAGTTAAGCGATATTAGCTTAGCCTAGCGTTAAGTCGAGTAAACGTGATAGTCATGTTCCAGGTGACAATATCTACCCAAAAGTTCTTCCAAAGATCACCAGGTAACATGCTATGTTTTGTTTATTAATGTTTATCTTTAAAGGATCCAGGCTAGTTGATTAATAATTGTGTTGTCTTTATGCTAATGAGGCTAACTTTCTCCTGGCTGTTCCTTCATATTAACAAACGAATATAAGAGTGGTATGAACCTTATAATGTTCACTAATAAGTGAACAAGCAAAAAAGTCAAACTATTCCTTTTAAAGTCAGCTAAATGCAATGTAATGTAAAGCATTCGAAAATTAGAAAATCAGCCACTTTCCTTAAGTACTGAAATCCAACCAAAATGAGGTATTCATTTATTAGCTCTATGAGATATGATACAAGATAATGTCACTCACTACATTTTGAGAAGAGTAGAAAGATTGGAAAATGTAAGGGTGCCAATTCACAACCAGCTAATCAGAAATGTGAAAACGCAGCAAAGAGATTAGCGCTAGCTGCAAATACGAGGTAGAGCTTGACATCTGCCTAAACCTAATAATGCTAAGCCTAGAGGATAGGGTTAACCCTTATAACCCTACTGAAAAAAAAATTAGGAATTGGTGACAAACTAAACGGTTATTTGCCAAGTAATAATAAGAAATTATCATTTAATCGTAATTCATAAAAACACTTGGGAATGGTTCAAAATTGGCATCAGATTTTTAGGCATTAGTCAAGCTCTAAGAGGAAGCGGCTGCGGTCCACAAAAGGGTACCTGTCATCTTCAGGGGAAGCATGTTGGATAAGAATCCTGGGACTCGCTGGACGTCTCCGGGGCAGGGAATGGGAAAACGATTTTCTACATGTACACATACAAAATATATCAACCATATGACCAAATCAGAAAGCCATTAGCAAATCAGAAATCCATGCCATTTCATTACTGGGTATGTAGTAAAGTATTTTTGTGTCTGACATGGGTACCCTTATTTTTGGCAACCAGGGGGCAGCAAAATACTGACTTACAATCACCTTATAAAGTGAAAATAATGAACGTGTTAGCAAACATATGCCTATTTATACACCCTGCAGACATGGAGCAATATTAGCTTGTATTTAGAGTTTTGTCCACAGAATCAATAAAAGTCCAACATTCCCTTCCCTTGCAGTTTGGTGTTGGTATCCACCAACTCTTCAAGGATATTCCCAGGAAATAACTGATCCAACAGTTAAATCTTAGTGCAAACATTTGTTGTATGTCTTTTCCTGCTGATCCAGAAACATTTAAAAACTGTCCTAGCAGTTGCATGTGGATTTGTTGCCAGAAAGAAACCCATCAAAAAACCTACATGCAACGTCCAGGATGAAGATGAACGGAGGATAGAAATACGATTTTTGAGCAACATCTTCTACACTGTAGTCACACTACAAATGTATCACTTCATGGCCAGTGTGGACAGGATGGATGATTGCAGGGATGAACAACTCTGTCATACATAAAGCATGTGATGATTGTCATATAATAAACTTTGATAAATTCAAGCATTTCCTTCAAGGTATTATAATGACATTGTGGATAATGGTGGAGGAGGAGAGCGTTCATTTACAGTTGTTTTAAAAAGACACTGGAAATAGTTATGCAGGTTGTTATTATTAAGAGGTGAAGCTCACAATGTAGACACAGTGGTGAAAGGGGGATTCCACTGAAGGCCTGGACAGTGTAAAACTAGCAGCATGTAGTAGGCTGGTTGGTGAAGATACAGTAATTAGTGTACAAGAAGAGGTGCACCGACTCTGTTGTCACAGGGCCAAATTATTAATGGACCAACATTTATTGATAGTGTTTCTTCAATGATAAGAAGATTTGAAAATCTCTCGAGAGAAGAGTAATTCTAAATACAAGTGTTCTTATAAATCTGCTCATTCATTGTCTAATTCTGTCAGTTTTAGAAAATCGTTGCACCTTCATACACAACATTGTGGCAAAACATGGGAGCTTCAGGATGAAACACCAGATTGGAATAACAGGCGTAGTCCACACATAAGGTATTTCAAAAATAAATGTCAATGTGTTTTAGTTTTCCTCGCACTCAGAAATGTCAGAAATGCCAGATTTCTGTACAGCCATGGGGTCTTGGTAGCGTGAGTAAGGGGGAAGCTTAATCTTCAGTTATAGTTGGACAACTCGGATGGAAAATAATTACAAAGACCAGGAAAGGTAGAAGATCGACTGGAGCACTACAGGAGTGTGTGTGGGGGGGGGGGGGGGGGGGGGGGCAGAGGCTGGTACCTTTCAGTCTCTGGTGAGGGGGCATGATTGTCTGGAGTCAGACAGTTGGCGCTAGCGCTCCTAACCCTGTCCAGAGAAGGCTGCAGATCACTAGAGGCACGAGAGCACAACATGCCATCCAATGGAGGAGGAGACAGGAGGAGAGGACAGAAACAAACACAGAGAGAAAAACAATGGCCAAACAGAAATCAATGTATTAAAATAAATCTTGGTAGGGTCCCAAAATCATAATGCTTGGATAAAACCATGACTGACGTAAGGATGTCAGGAAGTCGTGATGATGGGGTAAAGTGGATACTTGGATTTTGATTGCAAATAACTTTTCTACAGCCTGGCATGGCTTACACTTAAATGGCTACCCATTCAATTATAATCTGTACGCATGTATGTGTGTGTCTTACCTAATGGTCACCTCATCTGTGAACATTACAACGCGCTGAGTAATGGAGCTGCGTGTTGCCATGACCATGTGCGATCCCACAACAGAGCTTATCTTTCGACATGCAGACAGCGTGGAACTAGTCACAAAACGAAGATTTCAATAATAGCATGCATTATCAAATGAAACAAAAATAAAGCAAAGAAAGCGTGGATTGTAATCTGATCTGTGAAGCTCCTGCTGTTGCAGAACATACTCACATAAAAGGAAGTCCCCAGATGTAAGCAGATACGCTAACTCTAATGTTGGAGATGATTTGCATTTACTACGACAACATCATTACGTGCTTCTCCACAGGTATAGGACAAAATCACACTGGCACCACAAAATGTATAAAGGACTCAGTATGCTTCAGACAATGTGCTTGCAGAAATGTTGGTGTTGAGAACAGGATATTGGAAGGGTTTGATCTTCCTTTGACAACTAATGTACACCTGTCACTATTACATTACATGTTACTTGTTAGACGCCCGACAGGAGCAATTTGGGGTGAAGTGTCTTGCCCAGGGACGCAACGACATGCTGACTGCAGTGGGGTTTGAACCTGTGCTCCCCTGATCCAAACACCAACGCACTAGTCCACTGTGCCACAGCCTCCCTCCCCACTATTGTGTGTGTTCTTTCAGATCATTCCTTTGAGAAGCAACTGTCCAAAAGTGTGCCCAGTTAACCTTATTTCCCTAAGTCAAATCTAGAGGTACGGAAAACCCCCAGATTCTGATAGAGAGATTGGGCTGGACAAAAGGCAATAATGGCAGAAGTTTTGGAAGGAATTATCTTTGGGTTACCATATATGGTACTATCAAAAGATCACATGAAAAAAATGCATCTTGTCAGGCTTCAAGTAATATACCAACAGTGTTTTAAACCAATCAGAATCCTGTGATGAGCTACTCGCAGCCCAGGACATGGTTTATGTGGAAAAGAACATCTTAAAGGCCACCGCCAAAGTTGATTTTGGCGAAGTGAGACTATGATAGACCTGATTGGCGGATGGTCAATCCAATCCCTGCTAAGTATTATTTCGAAGGTTGCTGCCCATTTTTAAACAGTTTCCCGTGACGGCTTCTCAATTGGTTCCATGAGACAAAGCATCAGGCACCTCTGGTTCTGGAAGTAAAAGTCTCAATCATTTTTTCCATGGACAGTTTTAGTTTTAGTTGCTTGAGGTTAGGTCTCTCTGGGTCAGCTTTAGATATATATATTGTTTGTTTGTTGTATCAGCATGGTTCCAAAGATGCATGGCTATTACTAGTATGTGTAGTTCTTGTCTGGCTTACCGAACTGACGAAGAAAACATGCTGGTGGAACATCATCCTATTATCTTGCTCCTTTTTAAATAACATTACGGAGATTGTTTAAAGACAATGTTGAGATAGGAACACAGAGCAAAACATGTTTAGGTATATCCACTTTGTTTGTTTGAAGCATACTGAACCCACGCCTATGGACTTACCTGTTGGTGCGTTTGTGGATACCGTTGAACATAAGGGGCATCCTAGGTGGCAGTGTGTTATTGTGCCTAGTAGATCTTCTGGTGTTAGCATGCATGCAGCAGACAGAAGTGGGAAAGTGGAAGGAATGGATGGAAGAGGAGAAAGAAAACACGTCTGTGGAACTGTTTGCACGGATAGAACGTTTTGTAGGTCAAAAAGGTGCCAGCTTATCCAGTGATTTTACGCATTATGTGGTAAAGCTTTTTTTAAGGTACGTTTATTATTATTTCACAGTCGTCTGATATGTTTCTTAACAGTGCATTTCTTGCAAAATCACTGGCTAAGCTTGTAGGTTTTTGCAGTGTAAGCGAGTGCAGCTACAGCACTACATGACAGCATACAAGCATCAAAAGCCGCCTCATCTCTACTGACACGCTTAAAAACACATACCTCCTTTTAACACATCAGTGTGTGTAGAACAGGTTTATTTACTCAATTACTATAGTAAGTCAAACAATTGCAGTATATGTTCATATATTATTATAAGTTAAGACACCCAGTAGTATGAGTTATTCCAATAAACCCCACTTTTACTTGAATTGATGAACACATTAATGTATCAATAAATATACAATCATTTAAAATACATGATGCTTAAATGAGCCCCCCTGCATAATATTACTTTTATAGTATATATATTGATGCTTAAACTTTTGTACTTTTACTTACATTTTAAATGCAGGAATTGTACTTGTAATAGAGCATTTTTACACCTTAGTATTTCTACTTTTAATAAAGTAAATGATTTGAGTACTTCTTCCACCTCTGGTATACAAATCTGAGAGGTATGGTTTTATAAGTGGACGCCTCTAATGAGACATAAGGATGTGTTCTTAACTTACCTCTTTCACTGTGTGCTCAAAACACACGTCAAACCCATGTACAGTGTATGTTATACGCAAATATTAAATGACAAGTCTTTATATCTCAAACTGTATTACGTTATGGGAACAGATTGCAGCCCTTCAGAGGGAATAGCAGCATGCCAAGGATGAGACACAGTTGGAATGCAAAAGCATGGTCCTGTAGTGTCCTCTTGTGGATCTGAGGCAGCAATACAACTAAACAACTAGCTCAATGTGATCTAACTGTATTTCATTGCCCCAAACAACGCTTCGTTAAAGTGGCAGTACAAGCTGTGCTTCCTTATTCCTCACCTTTTCCACAATGCCCAAAATTATGGGGAAAATTACGAGTCATTGTCAAGTCAGTGATCATGTTATATATTTGTCTTACTGTCAACAATGTGTATTCCACTGACATGTATTGTGAGTGCATCCATACCATAATGCATGTTAAGTAAGAGTAAAAAACATTGACAGTCCAGCTCACTTTAAATAGAAGTCAATGGAATTGGTTGGTATTCTAAAAAGCTTCCTAAGCATTTTGATTGTTAAAAATCCTTTTCAGGGTCATGTGATATGTGTCATGTCGGGCATGCACAAATAAATAAAAGCAAACAATAATGTCCTACTATGTAAGTACATTTTTTCCTTTACCTACATGTTTTTATTTTGTTAAGCTGTTACTTGATGTCCCTATGTTTTTGTCTTCATTATCCCTGAGTAGATTACTCTGTGCATTGAGCTCCAACTATGAGACAGCGTCCTTTATTAACACGATCGCACACCATCCCTCTGCCTCAAATATACAGATTTTTTTTTCTTCCTGTTGAAGTAATGTGGGCAAAACATTTGATATTTTTGGACTTAAAACTATTAATTCAAAGTGTCCTGCCTAATTTTTTAAGATTATCACTTTCAGTGGGAATCAAAATGTATTTAGGGTTAAGAACCACAGGCAGGGAAGTTGAGTGTTACAGTAGTGTGGGATAGAATGAACACATTTGTGGATTTAATGCTATTTGTTGAATATAATACAAATATTGTCTATTGCCATCGTGTTAAATGTAACTTGTTTTGTTAAATGCAAACAATTTGCTTTAACAATACTTACAGCAAAGTAAAAGCTTTGCTTATGGATATATTCACACTCTTTAATCCCTTTCTACGTAGGATTGTAAGTGATGGATTCAACCCCTGTTTTTTAAGGCAATTGCACAGAGAGACAGTCTGACACACTACGCACCACAACATCCATGTGATCCAGAACCCTGAATGTAAACAACATGTCGTGATTGGCCAGTTTACCTGGTGTGGAGGCACTCAGCACTTTTGCCTCGCATTGACTGGTGGATCATGATGACCTCACTGTAGTTACCATGGGGATGGATGAAACAAAATCAACAACAGTCAAAAAAACCAAGAAGAGCACAATGAGAAGAGGGTGAATAGGAAAGACCCGGCCCAGATTGCTATAAACCCAACATGCACACACACACACACACACACACACACCACACACACACACACACACACACACACACACACACACAAACACACACACACACACACACACACACACACACACACACCTGCGCAAAGACACATTGAAACGCCGCAATTGTTTTCAAACAAAGCCATTTGTCCCGACACTCTCAAGTAAATATATACATAATTACAATAAATGCACCAAATGCAGTTTCAAGGCACTTAATAAGAAATTAAGTAAAAAGATAGGTGAGAGAAATTAAATTGTGAATTATTTTCAAATGGCAAACAAGAGAACTTGACCTGTTTTTTTAAATAAAGTTGTAGCAAATCTCATTACAGCAGTTCACACTCACGTAGAAAACAGATTCGGCGGTCACAGATTTGCACAAAACTCTGCTATCTCATTCAAACTGCACAAAAAGAAGCAGTCAAAAGTAGATAATATTTATATTTTGTATGCCAACCAAGCAACTCTGATGACATTTGGTGTCGTTAAATGGCGACCCACAAGCGACCCTCACCTGTCATCCAGGTACTCCTCCTGCTGGTGGCGACCTCTGGCAGAGTCGTAGTGACGGGTCGGAGAACGAGAACGACGAGTGTGAGGAAGCTCATCATCCAGACTCCTGAAAGGAAGGAGGCAAGGAAGCAAGGAAGGAAGGAGGAAGGAGGGAAGGAAGGAAGGTTAGTGGTCAGGAGGTTTGCAGCAGAGTCTTGGCACGGCTCATTTGTCCGGGCCAGTAAAAGAAGAGCTGGCAGCACTGTGTATTCTGCGTCAGACTTTTCATTAGTAGATGGACTCTGTTTAACGGCTTCCAACAAACTGTCTTTCCTCCCATGTTGCTTTTACCTCTTAGGAGTAGGGTTGGGTACCGAGAACCGGTTCCGAACCGGAACCGGTTCCAACATTTCGATTCCAACGGCATCATTTAGAAATGTGAATTTCGGTTCCGCTTTTCGATGCCTGAGGAAATGTTTCTCGCCGCGCTCCGTAGCCTACTGTATGACTGCGGCGGGGCGGGAAATGTAGCATTGTAACTACACTTCCTACAGCGTAACCATGTTCGCCTAGGGTGCCAGATCTGGGGAGGCGCTGCGCTGACAGCTCTGTGAGGGAAAAAAAATGTTTTGACCGTTGGGGCTCATCCTAATTTTCGGCCTTGATGTAACAACATTCATAATTAAGTAAATGTAACACCCTTTTCATCCCGGTTACACGTTTCATTTGCCCTGTACGATGGGCGCTGCAAGTGATGAAAATGGGGGATGTTGGCTTATCTGGCGCCCGCAGCTCACAGCCAAAGTGCGAGTGAGCGTGGAAGTGAGCGAGGGAGAAAGGGAGGGTGCATCGGTACGCGCTGTTGTTATTAGCATCTGGTGCTAGCTGCTCTAACGGAAGAAGAAGATGTTTCTACAATGAGGTGGAGGGAGAGTCCTCTCCAGTCAGACTGAGGCTGATAACTACAACTCAGTGAGTTAAAGGACTCTTGAGTGTTTAGATAGTTCACTTTAGTCTAAGTTGTCTCAAACGGTTTGATCACAATTTATGTAAACATATATTTCCAAGGCACTCCTTTATAATTATTGGGATAAAACAGGTTTGAAATCATTCCAATGTACACTATAGGACAGTAAACCAGACATATCGTTTTAAACTGGAGAGATAAAAAAATATGCATAAATAAAATAGTAAAATAAAATATGAATGAACAACAAAAATAAAATACGTTACATTTATTTGTTATTGGCTATGGGTTATTGGTTATGTTCACATACTTATTTAATTATTCCAATGTAAACCGATCTTTTTCATATGGGTGTTTAGAGTTGTACCCCCTAGATCAGGGATGGGCAACTTTGATAGTGGTGGGGGCCACATCATTTATGTACTGGCCACCAGGGGGCCGCAGATTCACTTGGAACACACAAACACAAATTCCATGTATTGTATGTAATTATTAACAAATATACGAAGTCTGACACCTTCATTGACATTTTACAATCTTTCAGGGAACATCCTCTAATAAGCTCACTAAACAAACAGCAGTTCACAGAAATGTTATTTAATTTGTAGAAGTGTCATGTTTGTATTGAACAGGTTATTTAACAGTGGAATACAACTATTGGAAAGCACAGGAAATGTGTGCGCATTGAGATTAACCATTAAGATGACATAAACATGAAGTCATGAACACTAATCCAGACATTAGTTGTCTAACTTGAACCTAAAACACTTGTAGCCTGTCTCTACATTCCCCTTATTCCACAATAAGGGCAATGTCAACACAGACACCTGTCAACCCACACTCTGCTGTTCCTCAGCGCCGCTCCCCCTCCCCCTCCCTGAAATTATGAGTGAAAAGCGTATAGTAATCATAGATAACACGGCAGGGTCCGTGACTGTTTGTTTTCATCTGATTTCAAATAAACAAAGTCTCGGTTTTTAGAATATTAAACTTGTTTCGCCAAATTCAGATGATAAATACAACTTTGAAGCTTGTAACGGCATAATTACAAGCGGTAACTTCATCACAGCAGGCATAACAATAGCCGGTGTTTCTTTGTGTGTATTGTGTTTCCCTGGGAAGCAAACACAATACACACAAACACGTCACAGATTATTTTGCGGTATTTGGCTGCCGAACGAAATCATGTACGCAGCTCGCAACGTAACTAGGAGTCTAGTGGATGGTATCAGTACTACAAGTAAAGAAATAGAACATTTTAAAATTTAAAAAAAAATTATTTTATTAATTACGTTATTTATAAATTAATCTGAGGGCCGCAAAAAGAGGAGGTGGGGGCCGCATGCGGCCCCCGGGCCGCCATTTGCCCATCCCTGCCCTAGATAGTCTCTAGTAAGTCTGCTTAAAGTGCACCAGATTGAAGCATTTTACTTCCCGGTATGCCTGAGAAAGCAGATATGCTTGTTTTTCTCAACAAGAACTGTTTTTAAAAGTTGGACTGTTGCACTGTTGTAGCTTCAGTGGTTCTCAGGTTACAGTTACATAGCAGTGAATATAAACAGATTGATTAATGTGAATATTACTGTAAACTAACCTGTGTAAAAGTTTCTCGAATAAATGTAATTTTTTTGGTGGAAGAAGCTTGTATCATTTTTTTACCCTGCCCCTCAAAGAATCGGAATTGAGAACCGTTAAGAACTGGAATCAAAAAGTGGAATCGGAATCGAAATCAGAATCGTGGAAATTCAAACGATACCCAACCCTACTTAGGAGTGACCAATGTCTTCCCATCAAGCAGATTTTTGTAACCATTATTAGTCAACAGGCCATGGCACCCACCTCTTAAGACTAACTGTTTCAATTGATTTAAAGTGTTCAAAATATGTTTTGTGTTTGGATAGAATATGACCGTTTGCATGATACAAATCAGCAGAAGAGAATTGGATTATGCATTTAATAAATCAACCTTTACTTAAAAATGTTTTTTTGTTGAATACTAGATTCTGATTTTGGACATTCAGCAGTGTGCTCTGTTTAGATAGCAGGCCGCTGCTGGGGATAGCAGACTTTTTAAACTCAAATTAATGAAATTATAATTACAAAACTCCTACTTTGCAAAACATTTTATGTATAAGGTATTCAAATAATATTCTGTACATTTTATATTGTGTGTTAATTAGATACTCTATTGAGATATATATTTTGTGTATAAGTAATGATATACTGTATGTTAGCTGTTTATTTTGTATTTTATTCTATTTTATATTATGTTTAATTCAAGTGCAAAGACTTAAAAAATGCTGGGGTGACAAAACAATTTCCCAAGTTGGGATGAATAAAGTCTATATCTATCGATCTTGCTATGGACCTGAATTAGCGCTTATTGGTCAGTGATGCCCTCATTTTATGTTACTGTTGGGTTCCATTCCATTCATGAACAGCTTGCTGCACATTATCCCTTAACAAACTCAAACAAATGAATGTCACATTGGATAATAAAACTGTTTAAATTCGGTCTCTCATGTCATCCTTTCCTCCTCACCTCTGGGCGGGAACGTTGGGGGGCCGTGATCGGATGCGCCCCTGCTCCTCACGGTGCGGGGACACCGAGCGGGAGCGTATGTGATGGGGGGGCATCCTCTGCTGGTCCGGCACCTCCAGGGTAGACGCTGACTCCCGCTGCCTCTCTCTGCCACGCCCCTCAGCTGCTGGATGGAAATGGCACACACACTCATAAGTAAATGGAAATGTCCAAGTAGGTGTCTGGATTATGGTTTACTATTCTAATCATAATGTTACAATAACAACATTGTACTACAACAGGACAGTCTGTCTCAAGGATTCGGGGGCCGTTTCTCAATCTCGAGGATACTGGCTTCCAAGCCAATATTTCAAGGATGCTACGTCATCGAGTGCCGCCGAAGGACTGTTCCAATCTCCAGCATACTTGGAATTCCACCGAGGCCGCGTCCTTGGTTTGGGGGAAATTTCGAGGCTGCACATGGGTAGACTTCGCGTCCTTAAAATCCCCACAATGCTTTGCGCATGGACCAATTTCAAAAACCCTTGCGGAGAATGGCTGAACCGACGCAGCACACATTTAAATGTAAGTATGTAGTGATGTAGAACATGTGTTGGTAAATATGTTACTTTGTTACATTCGTTTGTTATCACCAAAAATGTGTTAAAGTAAAGCAAGTTCATAATTAGATAGACATCGTGAGGTATTTATTTTCGGTACAGTTTATGTTGAAACCGTTAGAGAGAGTGGCACACTTGTTAGCCTGTTCCACTCTTTGTTTTCCGAATGCAAGACGCTCGGAAGACATGTGCTACCAAGCAAGCGTACTCGAGATTGAGAAACACCCACAGTCTATTTAAAGATGAGCCTATAAATAGAACTGTAACTGTAACTTTCTTTGGTGCTGTAGCAGCACAATTATCTCTGAAGATGAAAACATTCAAACAGAGATGACTGATCAGTCTTGAAGGGATCTTTGGGACTGTGTCAGGCTTTGTTTTTGCTCTCGAGGTCACTTGATTCATTTCCAAAAGAAAATCACCTCAAAGTTCACAGCGGGCGCTTTGTTTTGCTTTGGAAAGTTCTACCAAGGTTTTTCATTTATTCCAACCATGCATTAAATTAAAAGAAAAAGTTGGTTGAAGTAGTGTGATGTGTTTTTGTATCCCTTCTGTGGGAACTCATTAATGAGCGACAAAGTAGTTTCGACTGATATAGTGAGGTGTTACTAAGAGTTAACACTCATTATTTGTTATAGTTAATGTTACAATTCCATATGTTGTAATTCCACCAGAATTTAACTGAGGGTATTGTACTATAAAATGCAGGATCATTACGGTTTTCTTCCCTTTAACCCTTTAACTGCCAGCACCACCATTTGGTAGAGCACATTTTGTGTCTTGATATCTTGTTGAAAAAAAAAAAAAAGTTGAACTCCATCTGATTCAGCCAGCTCTACCCTTTGGTTGACATGTTATGCACAAAACAACCTCTAGATGTCACTGTGGTTCGAACAGAAAGCCCTTCAGCTAGCTTCAACTGAGAAAGTTGGCAATGCTAAAAATCACTGCTGAAGAAATCACTCTTTTTGGTCAACTTTTGTAAGGTAACCATATCCTTTTTGACATATTTTAGTGGCAGGGCACTGACTGAACATAATTAGATAACTTGATGCACAAACAAAGTTTTAACAAGGGTGTAATTATTTTTTGGAAAATATGCTCAACCAATTGGTCGAATTGGCCTTCTATGGTAAGCTAGCAATATGACTTTTTCAGAGTTTCAGAGATGTTTTCCAATAAAATATGGTCAATAAATGGCTAGATTCATGGTAATATTACTAAATCTAGTACTGCCTTATGAGTCTCAGAGTGAAAGAGTGATAATCATTTATATAGCACCTTTCATGCATGGCATTCAGCCCAAAGTTACACACAGATGAGCAAGTTAGGCCAACACAGGATATAGACATTTGCTGTTAGGCCAGTGGTTTCCTGTTAGGCCAATTCAGCATATACAGTAAGATGAGCAAGTATTTTTTTTTATCATGAAAAATACTTTATGAATATATCTGGTTGTATATATTACTCATTTTCCATAAAAGAAACAAATGTATTTGAGTTTGTGTTTTATTTGAGTTTGATGCATACAAATACTGTACTGTATATGATGATTGTTGAAAATGTACTTTTACCATAGAAGGCCAGCTCGACCAATTGGTAGAGGCTCATAAAAACAAAACTGTGTGGTCAGTCAAAAAAATAATAGTTTGTGCTTATTTGTGGCCCAGTTGATAAGAAAATGCAAACAAATAATGTTTCCATAGCTTTTTTCTTGGTCCGGCAGTTAAAGGGTTAATACGGAATTTGGTTCAATATATAGGTATTCTGATTGTAATTGTCTGGGTCAATACTATTTAATCCAAGTAAATAACAAAACTATTTTTTTCCCATAAAAGTCACCAAAAAGGGAATGTATATTATTCAGGGAAATAAATAGTGAAATATGTAATCCATCAACCTGATCTTATAATAGCCAATATCATGAAATCCGACCCTAACATTCCGAGACAAACAAGACATTAACAGTGTGTACAGTAGTTGTACAATAAGCACACAAACAAAGGCAGTGTTTTGAAATACATGGTAGAAATGTATATTTTATATAAACATTTCACATGCCAACATGTAGTGTATGACATGATAGTGTTTTCCACACACATAATTTGTTTGTGGTGGTCTGTCCCATTTTGATTTAAAATGGTATTTCATGTAATGTGCTGAGCATTTCAGAATCAGAATCAGAAACAGGTTTATTGCCAGGTAGATTCACACATACGAGGAATTTGACTTGATGTTGTTAAATGAATGCTACTGTCAGACAGATGTACAATGACAGCTAACCCTAACCCAATTATATATATGTTATGTCTATGAAGACTTGTGCTTGGAAGCCCTGAGAGGCAAGTTTATCAGTAAAAGAGCTTGGAAGAAAACCTTGTTTAGCAAAGCAACCCTACTTGAAACTGAGCGGTTGTGTTTCGTTTTTGGTTAATGAACATTTGGAGCTAGTAACCCCAGGGAATCAGTGTCTGGGGACGTTGTCCTGGCTGATTTTCTCTGTGTATGATGCTCGGGACGTATGTGCCATACAAGCTTACACAGCTCATGTTCGGAGAAACCTTAAAGAAAGGCATCAGTAAAGTGGAACTTCTGTGTGAACTATTCATATCTTAAACTGCACTGTAACTTTTTATTCATGTATTTTTTCTTTTAATGTTTATTTAATTATCTTTTCTTTTTAATGACTGTTTTTAAATGCCTTTGTCTGAATGTCTTTCATTTTTGTAAAGCACTTTGAATTGCCTTGTGTTGAAAGGTGCAATATAAATAAACTTGCCTTGCCTTGCCTAACAGCACCACAAATAAAAAAGAGTTTGTGGGGAAACACTCAAAGTAGTACTAGAAAACAATCCCCACCCACCTTTAGACATTACTGCTGTACCTTCATCAAATTCAGGCTCTGTTACACGCTGAGAACCTGAACATCAGAGACACACACACACATAGACAAACATACACACACAGACACACATAGATATGGATAAACACCACACACAGACACACATAGATATGGGTATAAACCACACACACATACAGTGGGGAAAAAAAGTATTTAGTGAGCCACCAATTGTGCAAGTTCTCCCACTTAAAAAGATGAGAGGCCTGTAATTTTCATCCTAGGTATACCTCAACTATGAGAGACAAAATGAGAAAGAAAAAAATCCAGAAAATCACATTGTCTGATTTTTAAAGAATTTATTTGCAAATTATGGTGGAAAATAAGTATTTGGTCAATAACAAAAGTTCATCTCAATACTTTGTTATATACCCTTTGTTGGCAATGACAGAGGTCAAACGTTTTCTGTAAGTCTTCACAAGGTTTTCACACACTGTTGCTGGTATTTTGGCCCATTCCTCCATGCAGATCTCCTCTAGAGCAGTGATGTTTTGGGGCTGTCGCTTGGCAACACGGACTTTCAACTCCCTCCAAAGATTTTCTATGGGGTTGAGATCTGGAGACTGGCTAGGCCACTCCAGGACCTTGAAATGCTTCTTACGAAGCCACTCCTTCGTTGCCCGGGCGGTGTGTTTGGGATCATTGTCATGCTGAAAGACCCAGCCACGTTTCATCTTCAATGCCCTTGCTGATGGAAGGAGGTTGTCACTCAAAATCTCACGATACATGGCCCCATTCATTCTATCCTTTACACGGATCAGTCGTCCTGGTCCCTTTGCAGAAAAACAGCCCCAAAGCATGATGTTTCCACCCCCATGTTTCACAGTAGGTATGGTGTTCTTTGGATGCAACTCAGCAATCTTTCTCCTCCAAACACGTCTAGTTGAGTTTTTTACCAAAAAGTTCTATTTTGGTTTCATCTGACCATATGACATTCTCCCAATCCTCTTCTGGGTCATCTAAATGCTCTCTAGCAAACTTCAGACGGGCCTGGACATGTACTGGTTTAAGCAGGGGGACACGTCTGGCACTGCAGGATTTGAGTCCCTGGTGGCGTAGTGTGTTACTGATGGTAGCCTTTGTTACTTTGGTCCCAGCTCTCTGCAGGTCATTGACTAGGTCCCCCCATGTGGTTCTGAGATTTTTGCTCACCGTTCTTGTGATCATTTTGACCCCACGGGGTGAGATCTTGCGTGGAGCCCCAGATCGAGGGAGATTATCAGTGGTCTTGTATGTCTTCCATCTTCTAATAATTGCTCCCACAGTTGATTTCTTCACACCAAGCTGCTAACCTATTGCAGATTCAGTCTTCCCAGCCTGGTGCAGGTCTACAATTTTGTTTCTGGTGTCCTTTGACAGCTCTTTGGTCTTGGCCATAGTGGAGTTTGGAGTGTGACTGTTTGAGGTTGTGGACAGGTGTCTTTTATACTGATAACGAGTGGAGGACAGAGGAGGCTCTTAAAGAAGAAGTTACAGGTCTGTGAGAGCCAGAAATCTTGTTTGTTTGTAGGTGACCAACTACTTATTTTACCAAGGAATTTACCAATTAATTCATTAAAAATCCTACAATGTGATTTCCTGGATTCTTTCCCCCCCATTCTGTCTCTCATAGTTGAAGTGTACCTAGGATGAAAATTACAGGCCTCTCTCTCATCTTTTTAAGTGGGAGAACTTGCACAATTGGTGGCTGACTAAATACTTTTTTGCCCCACTGTATATGCATGCACATGTCCAGGCACAAATGCAGTATTAGGGAAGGGTATGGAAAACATACATTTACATTGATATACTATACATGTTATACCTCATCCCTTCAAGCCTACATCTCTTTGACCTTTCATCCCACCCTCCATACGTACCTTCGACCCTCATTCCTTCCAGCCTTTACCCTTTTCTCCCTGAATCTATTTGACCCTTTATCCCTCCAACACTATATCCCCATTCCCTTCTTATTGTCTCTCCTTATCTGTTTTTATTTAATCTGGTGAGAACCTCTTGTCTCATTCTAAGTACCTCCTGGAGGCTCCTTTTCAGAATGGTCAGAAAAATGCCTAAGTCCGAACCTCCACACGTAGTCTCTTCTCGACGACATCCCTCATCCTTCACAGTATCCTTAAAGAATTCACAGACAGAGACTTACGCTGCAGCTTCTTTCCAGGGACGTCTGTGTGTCGTCGGGGCAGGTACGGGGAGGGTTGGGGCAGTGGAATGGATGAGACATCGTGGGTTTGGAGTGGATACCAGTGAGGCTTGTCGTCCAGTAAGGCCGTCTCTAGCTCTATCAGGACCTGCTCAAATCATAATACAGATAGGGAAATGTTTTGCTGCCGTTCACAACTGCTTATTAACATTACGCAGACAGTAGAAGCTGGTAAAAATACATACAGAAAAGCTTGTATATGTGTTTAAAACATCCGCTGTATGGGATTTAGTGTATTGACGTTCCCATTCAGAAGTTAATTAAGTGTGTGTGTGTGTGTGTGTGTGTGTGTGTGTGTGTGTGTGTGTGTGTGTGTGTGTGTGTGTGTGTTTGTGTGTGTGTGTGGTGTGTGTGTGTGTGTGTGTTAGGGCTGAACGATATACCGTGTCATGGTGATAACCGCGATATGCGCATGCGCGATATTCACACCGCAGGGACGTGCGGTTTTATTCATTTAAAAAAAAAATGCTAACGCACTTTAGCACAGAATTCAAAATAAAGATACCCTTATTACTTATCGAAACTGCACATACAATATATCCGATTAAAGCTGAGACTCCACAGATTATTTAAGTATAGTATCTAAGCGATCCGATCTCGCAACAGGGGAAGCAAACACAGACATCACAACACGTACCTTTTACGGAGCTTTTACGGGAGATCGTCTCACCGTAGCTGTCAATCTGATCAAAAGACGTGTTAAATGGCATTAAAACAAGAAAAAACGCGGCTGAATCGGTTGATCCATAGGTTGATAATGTATCTGTGGCTTTGAAGCAATTGTTTATAATCCATAATTCCATTTTTATGTAAAAATCGGAGCACAAAAGTTAGCTGCTAATGGTAGCTACCAGAGTGTATGCAGCTTCCGGTTTTGGCTACGCGTCACTCTCACTCCTTATTTGGTAATGTGTGTGTGTAACGGCCCGTCCACACAGCGGCGTGCGTTGAAGCTTCCAACGCTTCTGCCCATTCACTTTGAATGGGGTGACGTCACTTTTAGCCGAACTGCATTTTGGGAAGCGACGTGGAGCGTTGCTGACTTCAAAAGTTGAGCAATGTTCAACTTTTGACGCCTCGACAGAGGCGTCAGCCAATGAAATCCCGTTTATGCAAATCTGCCAGTACAAGCGCTAGCCAATCAAACCGTGTGTATGCTGGGAGAGACTACGCAGGTCATTTCCTCATATTCCAAAAAATGGAGGGAAAATTCATTATAGCGGTAGTGAATCACCCGGTGCTGTATGATCAGTCTCTGTTCATCTACCGGGATACAAACCAGAGGAGGTCTCTCCCCAAGCTTCAGATACGCTCACCTCCAAGCGTCAACGCACGCTGTTGTGTGGACGCTCCGTTACGGGCCGTCCACACAGCGGCGTGCGTTGACGCTTGGAGGTGGGCGTATCTGAAGCTTGGGGATTTTTTGCGAGCAACGCGACCAACAACCAATCACATGAATCTCCCGCCCCCGACATACAAAGCAATATCAATGTTAAAACGAAGTAAACTGGATATAAAATCCCCAAACAGGCGAAAACCTACCAGTTTCATCCACTGTCTCTGCCACCTCCCTCCATGCCTCGCTCCTCCGGTTTGTATCCCGGTAGATGAACAGAGACTGATCATACAGTACCGGGTGATTCACTACCGCTATAATGAATTTTCCCTCCCATTTTTTGGAATATGAGGAAATGACCTGCGTAGTCTCTTCCAGCATACACGCGGTTTGATTGGCTAGCGCTTGTACTGGCAGATTTGCATAAACGGGATTTCATTGGCTGACGCCTCCGTCGAGGCGTCAAAAGTTGAACATTGCACAACTTTTGAAGCCAGCAACGCCAGCAACGCTCCACGTCGCTTCCCAAAATGCAATTCGGCTAAAAGTGACGTCACCCGATTCAAAGTGAATGGGCAGAAGCGTTGGAAGCTTCAACGCACGCCGCTGTGTGGACGGGCCGTTAGACTGCGCTGGACTGCCGCATTGCCAAGACCGGAAGCAGCAGCCACTCTGGTGGCTACCATTAGCAGCTAACTTTTGCTCTGCGATTTTTACATAAAAATGGAATTATGGATCATAAATGAAATATTTTTTTTATACAGAGACGTTAAAAACCTATGGATTAACCGATTCAGCCGCGTTTTTTCTCGTTTTAATGCCATTGAACACGTCTTTTGATTAGATTGACAACTACGGTGAGACATCTCCCCTAGAAGCTACGTAAAGGTACGTGTTGTGATGTCTGTGTTTGCTTCCCCTGTCCGAGTTCGGATCACTCAGTGATGATACTATATACCTAGATAATCTGTGGAACCTCAGCTTTAATCGGATATCTTGTATGTGCAGCTACGATAAGTAATAAGGGTACTTTTATCTTGAGTTCTGTGCCAAAGTGCGTTAGCATTTTTCGCTCAGGGGTCATTTAGATGCTTCTTATGAGACTTGTGTTTTGTTTTGGTAAAAATTGTTTGTATCGTCAGTTAGCTGAGATTATTTCCGTTAATCTGGTATAACACATTAATAGGTTCTTAAATATTAAGATCCCTTGAGACACAGTGTCGTGAAAAAAAAAGTAAAGTACCCGCCGGGACTTTGGGGCTTAACAGGTTAAAAAAAACGCAATATATACCGCAGGGGGGGGGGAAATCGCAGATGTCAGTTTTTTTCAATATCGTACAGCCCTAGTGTGTGCGTGTGTGTGTGTGTGTGTGTGTGTGTGTGTGTGTGTGTGTGTGTGGTGTGTGTGTGTGTGTGTGTGTGTGTGTGTGTGGTGTGTGTGTGTGTGTGTGTGTGTGTGTGTGTGTGTGTGTGTGTGTGTGTGTGTGTGAGAGAGGTACCTCTCCCATAAAGGTGCTGTCCTCGTCCGGTGACCTGGGTTGGTCCCATATCGTCAGCTCGAGCATGTGGTTCCTGAAGTCCCTGCGATGGACATGAGAGTAGACAAACGTCTGGTTCCACTTGGGCTCACAGGTCCTCTTCATAGTTTTTGTCCTTCGTTTGCTCTTGTCACTGTGTTCAACAATCAGAGAGTCAGACAACCAAGTTCTCTTTTCAGTGGACATACTTATTGTTCATGGGAATTTCCTATGATTAGATCACAAGCTTTATTCATCCAAATGTACTCCGCTAATACCTGTCGGAATGAATTTTCAAGCACTCTCTGTGAAGATGGGGCATACCTGCGATCAGGAAGAAAGTACATTTTGACGTAGGCGCTCCTGGGCCGCCCGTCAGACCGAAGAGGAAGCTCTGCAGCCTGCATCACGTTGACTATTAGCTGATGACCCGCTTTGTCGTACCAAAGTTTCACCTGGGTGGGAAACACACAAACAAATCTGATGCTTGGTTTTCATTTCAACACATCAACAGCCCAACACACTCAAAGTGTGCAGACTCACTGAGAGCTGCCCTGGCAATAACTGTGGAGCGTCTTGGAGCATCCCAGGGCTGGAGGGAGACAGGACATGTAAAGATGGTCTGTCCATCTTCTGGGACTCAAAAGAACTGGAACCTGCTGGGGATACAAAAGGGGAGAATTCATTAAAAGAAAGTCAGCTCTAACAAGAAATTGAATCCTAGACAAGAGAAAAAAGTGTTAAAAATACATTAGTTTGTACATAACGTACAATGTGCTAGCCAATAAAAGCAGGAGTGATACATAGTGGGGTCATTATGTTACAGAAGTAAACAAAGAAGTCCAATGGAGGCTTTTCAGGCAGGTGGTAGAGGGAACTTGGGTATTTTAGACTTGGCAAACAATTGACATGCACTAAAACCTATAAAACAGACAGGAAAACACCAAAAAAGCATAATAGGGCCTCTTTAATTGTTCCAATCTCAATGCTAAGCTAGGCTAATAAACTCCCAGCTCCAGCACCATGGTTGATACACAGACATATTTGCTTTCTCAAAAAAAAAGACAATCGGCAAGATAAAAAACAGAATTAAAGAGGGGTCTCAACATCCTGCATACTTACTAGATTCTAATGGAGGGTGGGAGGTGTCGGGGATTCTTGGGATAATCACTGGAAAGGAAGCAGAAAAACTTCTTGTCAGCCACTCTCAAACTGGCATATAACCAGAATAAACAACGTTAGTAGTGTTCTCGATGCACAGGCATACATGCAAATAAATGTAGAAGTAGTTAAGTGGAAGAAAGTAGCACTGCAGTTATTTGGAGATTAAAATGTTATGTGGTTAAAACAAATATGGAGAAACAAAAGAAAATGTGAGGAGAGACAATTTCTTCTCATAAATTCAATTTTTCCCGGACTCATTCAGACATTTTGACTGAAATAATAATAAGAATGGATGGGAACCAGCAGCTCAATTCTGTCCACATCTTTTCTATCATCCACCACCACCACAACTACAGTTAAGGATCCCATGGGAAACGCCAGAAGCCATTGCATTAGCTTCATTGTCATAAAGAAAAGAATGGTATTCTGTGGAACACTTATCAGTGTAATTTCTCATTTTAAATTGTAAATCTATAAAGAGGAAGAGTTTAGTATTTGAAAGTGTCCATCCCAACATTGGTAGATGCAGGAGGTTTTCTCAGTGATTATTTGATAGCACATGGGGAGGTTGTATTCTCAATTGTTGAGTGATCCATGTGGCCACAAACTGATATTTTTACATTTAATTAAGTAAAAGTTCAACATTTAGTACTTTATTCACTTTCTTAAAGGGTTAAAAGGAAAAGATGGATCATGATGTACTGAACGAGCATAAAACCTGAACAAATCAAGCTGATTGGTCTCCCAGCTTCAGTACTTTCAAACATTAGATATCCATCTTCTCATTTCACTCTTGGAAAGAAAGCAAAAAACATTTTTAATTTCACCTTTTGATTTGAAATACAAGCATTATACTGATAAGTGTTTCACGGAGCCTATGTTGCTTTTGAGCCCATTCCAAAATCAAAAAATGTAAAACAAGTAAAGAAAATCAAATCAATATTTTTATGAAACCCAATGACCCCGCTTTCAAACAATGGGATAGAGGAAAACATAAAGAAGTATTTGACACTGCGAGTGCTGGATTTCACTTTGGGATCCTAAGACTTGGACTGGGAATGAAAAAGAGAAAATCCAGACGCCGCACAAACATTTTAAAAAACTTGCAAAAGGAATGCTACATTGACGGACATTTCCCATTGGCCATTTTGCATCCCTTCAAGGGAACTCTCAGTTTTTTCAGATGGACTTAACAAACTGTAGCAATTTATCTAAAAATAAATTAGCATAACTGCTTAATAGGAATCAATTGAGTTCATTTAGGGATGCAAAATGGCACCAGCAAAACCAAAATAGTTTCCATAAGCATGAGAAGATTAAGGGGTCCTAATAAAAGGGGCAGATTACTTACTGATATTTTCTATAAACCCTTCGCGAGTGTTTGGAGAAAAATTAATACATTCAACTATTTTTCCCATCAAAGAGCAAATGAGGTTCAATCTTATTATAAAGCACGGATGCAAAAAGTTGAAGAAACATTTAGTTTTTTAATGTAAAATAAAACCACTATAAACCCAATACAAAAATAGGCCAAACTTACTCACAACAATAGCTTAGCAAATATACTGATCACAAACTGTACATTTTTAACACTGTGGTCACTATGGATTCCAGAGTATCACCATTTGTTTGAGAATATTATTTTTTAAACAGATCAAATGTAAAACCTGACATTTAAAAAGATTCTATGAAGGGTCATGCAGGGTGTCATAAATGAGTAGATCCCACTAGCAGTAATAATAATGCTATTATTGTATGTAAATGCGTTAAAATCCTTATTTCAGATAATATCTCCAAACATAATATCTCCACATGCATACAGTATGTGGAGATATTATGTTTTTTCTTTCTTCTAAGTGTTCCGGAATATGTAATTTGTTGGAGTAATTATAGGCAAATTCAGAAAAAGAGACAATTGGTACAATTAAAATAAAACAATTTCAATTAATTGCTAGCAAAACGCAGAATAACACCCAATTAAGACGTCTGTAGAGAATTAAGTTCAAACAAAAGATTAATGGAAGGAAATGTCTATTGTCCAAAGGATTAATACCAAATTATATAATTACAAAAGATAACAATATCATGATTCTGAGACCTGTAAAACAAATCACTAAGTCAACGGTTTTTTGACAGTGTTTTTGGTTAAAAGGCCCTAACACAAACTGAAGAGATTTTCATGCTTTGTTCTACGAAATTAGGTAACATTAGCCGCCTTTAGCCTAGTGGTGGTTACAAGAAGTAATGGGATGGGATTTGTTTACAGCCTAACATTTTTACTTCTACTGATTGCATTTTAGCTTCAAAAATCATAAAAATGGTGTTAGTATGTGGAGATTATCCTGCTGTCACACGTCTTATTCTCTGCAATACTCCAAAATCCAATGGAAAATCCCATTTATTTTGTTGAGTGAGCCTTAGTGACGCTAACTTCCGGGTTACAAAAGCCTACAAAATACATCATCACCACCACTCTAATGCACTCACAAACTGGTCATTACTGTCCTGGTTTTTAAGACCAACAAAATATTATGTGATGCAGCCACTTCTCATTTTGTATGGAATAATTCACCTTATACCCTCCTGTAAATAGGGTTAGGCTAAGTGCTTTTTTGAAGGGTATGGAGGAGACAAAATGGCAACTTAGAAACTGTTGAGTCAACACTCCCTAGTTAATAAGGGTGGTATTTAGACTGAGTTATGACTAAAGGATTGCATTTTTGCAAGATGTAAGGGGTGTGTTTAATCCCTGACTTACCCAATAGGCCTGGATACCACTAGCTCAACTTGAGGCTCCGCTTGAGACTCCAGGATGATGTTGTAAACTTCCTTCATGGTCGCCCCCGGTAACAGCTTCCCATTCCACTGCAGAACTTCATCCCCTGGAAGCAGACGTGCATGTCATTAAAAATAAAGTCTGGGTATCATACAAAGGTAGGTATAATTCATTTAATATTGTAAACGAATCCCATAAAAAGACAAACACCATCATGTGTGAGTCCACTTCCATATTCCCTTAAGCCCCTGTCACACTGTCCCGAAATTGACACCAGATGGACACACGAATATGGAATTGTGAATTTCGCACGAAGATGGCCCCGACCTTGGTCAACGGCCAAGCAACAGCTGAAGCAAGTACGTTGATGCCTACAGAAGGCCACACGATGACACCCGAACCACACACGAAGGCAACATTTACATTACATTTAAGACATACAACTGCAACGAAAGTAACAAAAACAATTATGTTATAGTACTATGGGACTTACATTTTGGAAACTTGAGATTGTATATAATAAAATTGTCACTGATATTTTCAGACTTTGTTCTTTACTTTCTCCGTCTTTATATGTAGAAGATATTACGTTTTCTCCGTCATGTTGTTTCCATAGCAACAACAACTTCCTGTCAACAGCGTAAACTCACCTTAAGCATCTAAATAAAACAGGAAGTTAACCTAAATTACATTTAAGACATACAACTGCAACGAAAGTAACACAAACAATGCAATATCATTTTCAGTTTCACAGAACACAAATTGGGTTATTTTCATAATATGTTTACATGATTTTGTTGAGCAATAAAACAACAAGAGAAGCGATCTGTAAGGAAACATTGCACGCCGTGGTCCCATCTCGATGTCATCGTACTGTAATACGATGGCTACACGACGGCATTGCGAGGGCTTCACGTAGTCGTGTTGCCTTCCCTAAGACAATCAGGCAGCTTCTTGTTTCCTTCGTATTGTTCTTCGTGAAGCGAAAAATGCCCGATGGCACCGATGATCACACGAAGTAAGACGAAGATGACACGGTTTGACAAGAAGCCCTCACGCTGGCCTTACGAAGGGCAAAATGGACACATGAATTCAACCACGAAAATGAACCTTCGCCAGGTCCTTTCAGCAATTTTTTTGGCATGCCAAAGATTTTGCCACTGCTCACGAAGTTGCTGCCGGAGCCTGAGAAACTCCACCGGTGGTCATACGAAGGCTTAAGATGCCCTCACGAATGGCCCGATGTTGCTACGATCAGAGCCGAATTTGAAACATTTCTTTTATCGTGTGTCCATATGGTGGTCAATTTCGGGGACAGTGTGACTAGGAGCTTAACGCCACCTGAGGCCCATTGTTAAATTCAAAGATATACACTTTTAAAATTCCAAATATTTTGTGACCTCTTTTAAGAAGGCTTTTATTAAAGTAATTTTTAAAAAAAAAGCTGAGCCCTGTAGTTGTTTCGTAAACGTGACTTAAACGGTAAGGTTAGGGTAAAACAGCAATGGCCTTTTTATGGGATTATTTACAATTACAAACATAGAGTCTTTGGCTCTTTTTTATGAAGCTTTGTCTATTTATTTCGGCCTTCCTTCTTGACTCAAACAGCGATTTAGGTCAATGAAAAAAACATTTATTTCAGAAAATAACCATATGTTTTGCTCTATGCCAATATGTTTAAAACCAACACAGCTAATTAGAGACATAAAACTATATACAATTTTTTTAATGTTTTAAGTGGAAACAGTGAAAATAAGACCTCTGAAACTGTTTTAAAGACCCTATGTTTGGATGATTTTTTACTTTTACAGCAGACAGCGTATCACATGTAATGGTTTACCTGCTCTGAGATGTCCCACCACATCAGCCAGGCTTCCCTTCTTGACTTTAGTGATGAAGGCACCTAATCTCCCTGACTCTGTTATTCTGCCTCCCACCACCTAGAGACAGAGAGGGGGAGAGAAAGAGATTAGTGTCATATCTGTCATATATGCTGACCGAATACCATTACAATATTATTACACAGCTTGGTTGGATACTGGTTTCTGTTCATTTTGAGTTTCAAGAGACTTTTTAAATATTGATTTTAATATTTGAAAAGACACTTTGGATTTATGATGGCTAAACTGTCCCCAGTAAAGAAAAAGAAAAACAGCGCATGAGAAGGAAAGAGTTTAAAAGACAGAACACTGAACATCAGAGAAATCAGCAGAAGAAGACAGACAGGAAGTAAACACTAAAGGTAACACGGTATGAGTGTTTCAAAGACTGGTTAATGGAAAATAAAATGTGAACAGACTTGGAAAGTTACAGATAACCTCGATCAGTGCTTTTTTCCTTTTCAAATACTTTGTTGTCGCTGCAGTTTCAGACATTGGTACGCAGTGGAACGGACACATTTTTCTTAGCGGAGGCAATACGATCATTTTTAAATCAAAATTGTGACTCAAGGATTTGGTTTATTTAGTATGTACCCATGTAATAAGTAGAGACATCATGTATAATGATACAACATCATGTGAGTGTGTGTGTTGTTGCCCACTCCGACCTTTAACCCCAGCAGAGCTCCGGCTTCTTTAGGCATGGTGGCGCTCCTCTTGCTGAGGGTGATTCGTCCAATCAGATGGTCCCCCTCCTTGGATGGCTGCCAGGTTACAGGATGCTTCAAAATGAGGAAACAAGAGATGCTTAGATGCACACACTGGGACGTGTCCTGTTGGATCAGCAGGTAAGAGTTTCCTTTTTTGATATACAGTAGTTGTTTAATATTTACATGGATGAAAGGTGCACTACATTTAAATGTCATTAATAATGTGGCTAAATGCATGTTTTTATTTTTTCAAGAGCCGGTGTGTACAGTAAAGAGTGAAACATATGCTTTTTCCCTCTGAAGGATGACACAGTTTGCAGTAGTGTTTCCTAGGAATACATGTGCTCGTCTCCCAGCCACTCTTATCGGGTGGAATCTGGCAGATATACCAGCACTTCCCACAATTATAATTTGTCTGTACTGCTTTAACCTTGGGCAATCATCTTGCTATGTAATATCTGAACTCATGTGTTTTTATTCTCTGTATTGTACACTTCGATGTTGCATGTTTCTAATGACTATATTTCTTTTTTTTTTAAATCAAAATTATAATTTTTCATCTGGACATACCCTTAGTTTTTTAGGGTGAATGTTTTGTTTTTTTAAATATCCGCTTTTACAGCATTGTCTATTTATGTGCATTTTTCCTGTTAAATAAACTAATTAATACAAATAAACATAAATGGATCATTTTATATAAATAGAAAAAACAACTAAGTTGAAGCAAACTGAACAAAGGAAAAAATATACTTCGGCAGGAGGGGTTCAAGTTCAAGTTAGCAAAAAGTCAGTCATCATGGATGGATTACTGACCATCAAAGGGACTGTCCGTGGCCCCATGGCCTTTACATACAAAACGGTCACTTAAGAGACACTTGTACCAACAAGAAAGGGACACAACAAGACAACAAAGACACAAGGGGCAATTACGAAAAGACTAAAAACAATTACAAAGAGACACAACGGTGACCACAAAGAGACACACAATCACAGAACGGATGCATAACGGCTGTAACAAGAAAGAAAAACGACGTCAAAAAGAGGCGAAACAACTATAAAGTCTGTCATCCTATGGAAAGCAATTAATAGAAATAGAAAAACAATAACTTACATGCCATACAGTGGGGTCATGTGGGTAGCACTCCCAGTCGCCTGCAAGAAATAAGACAGAGGGCTCAGATGCTGAAGATCCCTAACACACACACACACACACAACTCACACACACACTCACACACACACACTGTATAAACAGCACATACCAGCCTGAGTCCTCTCATACACAGACCAGCCAAATGTGGAAGGTATTTGTTTACAGTGGAGAGAGTTACGTTTATTGGATATTCAGACCTGGGCTAGCATTAGAAATGGATCACCTCAGTGGCAGAACTGAGAGCAGTGTGCAGAGGATGGGAAGATACCAAAGGATAACAAAGCTTTTTAAAACACTCAAAATCCCTTCCAGATGTTGTACAGATCAGATTTTGTGGAATGACTCCAGGGGCAATGCAATGTTGTGAAGCAAAATAAAAATGTTAGTAAGTGATGTCCTTATGTTGATGGTCATTATAAAGGCAATATACCTATGTTATTCTAGTATAAGGGGTTAAAGTTGTTGAATCAAATGCACCAATTACAACGTTTTTCATACTACAGTATGTGTGTTTTTTTCTTCTTTGCTAGGAGGATGAGGAAGATGCATTCACAGATCCTAATAGATGAGTTTGAGTGTGTGTATGTTCCCGCACTGATCTAACAATGATGTACATGCCTCTGCGACGCTTCTCCGCTCTGCCAGTAAACTCATCTCAGAGCTGACCTGGTCTCAGTCTCGAGCTAAAAAAGGAAGCAGCCTCTCGCTGCCACGGCCGGTGTGTTTTGAAACTGCCCTGACAGAACACTCTCAGCCTAAAGCTCTACTTGATCGATGATCTCAGTGCCTGGTCTGGGTCCAGCCCGGTGCTAGCATTCTCCCTTTTCTCATCAGAACTAAAACACACTTTATCGATCAAAGTGTAGCTTTAATGTAGAGCGAGCATGGTAACAATCAGACAGTGCTGAAGGGTAAATACCTAATGTGCTGGTCCGAATACTCCATGATGATGCTCGTTTTCGCCAGTGGTCAGCTGCTAAGGATAGCAGACCGTTGCTAAGGAGGACCTTAGCAATAATAATATGTGGAATTATTATTTGCAGAAAGAAAGTCTGGTCAATTTAAAGTGCCTGAAGACATGCTGCCGTCATTCATATCATGTATTTGTCGCCGCAGTTGTAGCCGTTTCGTACGCAATAGGATCTTTTTTAATCAACAAAATCCTTTTACAGTAGGCTATATCAATATAGTCGAGTTTTACATTTTTTTGTATATAACCATCGTTCAGATCCAAGAAGCAAACCCTGTTAGGGTTCTTCTTATTACTGAGAGTCACTGTACATTATCACTTATACAACCACAAAAATATGGTGGATAGGATAACGAATAATATGCCCATAGGGTTATACTTAAATGGAAGTGCTGAAATGGGTTGTGACGGCACAGAAGATAATGGAAGCTTGTTTTTGGACGTGTCTGTCTACCCTGAGCTTCATGTAAGACAGAACATATCATGACAATGACCACAACGCTAAGTGTTGCTGGTGGTTAGGGTTGTGCTTTATATCATTGCGTGTTTCCTACGGATTGTCCTTCTCAAGCTCATTAACACAAAGTATGAGGTCAAGCATCAACTGTTTCTTGCTTACGGTTGTATTTTTTTTGTAAAAAACATATCAAACCAATAGAAGTAGCAACAATTTGATAATAGACAGCAACAGGCGAAATATGAGTCTATGTTGGTGGTGAAACAGCTCCCAGTACCTTCTGCCAAGAAATGTTGACGCACGCCCTTAACTATGCTAATGTAGCTTTTTATGCTACAAGCCCCAGTTGGATATAAAGCAGTGAGCCAGAATGCCCTGGCATGGTTAGTAGTGACGTGACAGAACCCAGCTTGAACATGACAGTGGTGTGTTTCTCAGGCTGGGGGACATGGCTCACCCTTTGATCAACTGGGGTCAAACTGCCCCATCACTGACACACTAACGTGCACACACATGTACTCTCAGTGTGTGATGGTCCCCCCTCAGGGGCAAGCTGAAAACAATGCAACATGACACACACAGGCTCACACCACACTACTGTGTGTAGATGCTCACTTTGACTTTCAGACTGCTGGCTACAGCCTGCTGCATGCACTGTAAATAGAAGTTAGAGAAGTTGGCAGCAAGTGGCATTGTTCCTGCAAACACAACTAGAAGAAATCCTCTCGGAATTTAAGGTTTTCAACGAGTATGGTGTGTAATGTTAGACATTCTAATAAACCGATTCATAGGAAAGAAATAAAAAAAGGTTTTCCATGAATTAGAAGGTTATTTCAGAGCAGTCTTACCGGTTCTATTCGTAAACCCCAGAGTTAAGTAAAGAGCGTTGCTAAATCCAAGTCTGAATGAAGACAGCACACTGAGCCTAAGCAGTTCTCTGCAGCTTCTTACATTCACCTCCCGTGATGGTGTTAAAGTGGGAGTGTTCCATCACACAGGCACCGAAAAGTCAGTGCTCCATACCTTGTACGTCGCAATAAGTTTACCAAAATGTAGTGTATAAGTGTAAAATAAACTGGATTTGATCACTATTTTTATAGCAATATCTTTTAACTATATAATTAGTATTAGCTAATGAACTGGAGATTCTGTGTTTGTTTGCCTAACTTTCTTTATGTCCCTTTTCACCTACCTGCTTGGCATTTTTACCTGTCAGTTTGTAGAAACTGAAGCTGGCTCCCTTGTGTTCTTCTCTAGCTTGGCTGTGTATGGAGTGTTGCAGGATAGAAGAACAGTCCTTAACCCGGGAATGAGTTAGCATTTTATTTTTATTTTATTTAACCTTTATTTAACCAGATAAAAGCATTGAGATAGAATCTAATTTGCAATGCTGACCTGGCCAAGAAGCAGCAACGTTACACAAACACATAACACAAACATATAAAATACAGAGACATAACTAAGAAAACAAAAGACAAAAAAGCAGTCACTACATTGTGCACATTAGGACAGTAAGAAAGGTGCACTACTTATTACTGCAAGAGCAGCTGGTGGTAAGGACTTCAGACAACTTCAATTTAAAACATGCTATGAGACAAGTGCCCTCAGTTTGAGGCGTGATTGAAGGTCATTCCAAGACCAAGGACCATAATAAAAAAGACTCCTTTTCCCAGCCTCAGTCCGCACAGCAGGAACCTGGAACCGTATCCAGGCACTGGATCTGAGGTTGTAAGAGTCACAAACTGGAACAAATCTGGCACATATATACAGTGGAAGCTTACCTAAAATGGCTTTATACATTAATAAAAACCAATGCTGCATCCTACGCATACTAAGTGAGGACCATCCAGTTAGGCTATACAGTTTGCAATGATGAGTCCTATAGGGTGCATTTGATATATAACGCAGTGCAGCATGGTAGAGTGGGTCAAGTTTGGCCAAAACAGTGGGACAGGCAAATCTATAAATGGTATCACCGTAGTCCAGCTGGGACAGGAATAAGCCAGAGACCAACCTTTTACGGGATGAAGTTGAAAAACAACATTTAAGTCTGTAAAGGAAGCCAAGAGTGAATTTCAATTTCTTAGTTAGAACTTCAATGGTGTTTCAGATTACTGTCCAACCAAAAGCCAAGATATTTGTAGGTATCGACAAACTCAACAGAGACGCCATCAAGGGTGTCAATGGAGAGGCAAGAGGACGCTGCCTTGGGAGCAAAAAGCATTGCTTTGGTTTTCTTACTGTTCAAAAGCAGTTTGGAATCAAGAAGTGCATGCTGCAGCGTGATCCAATCAGATTTTAAATTGGAAACGGCCATATCCAGAGAAGTAGCACATGAGTATACAATAGTGTCATCAGCATACATATGATAGGTAGAAAATTGCATCTGATTACAAATATTGTTTACATATAATAAAAAGAGCAAAGGCCCCAAAATAGAGCCCTGTGGAACTCCCTTCTTCAGGGTCAGAGACAGTACTACCCAACCTGACGCATTGAGTACGGTCGGTTAGATAACTCTGAAACCAGCAAATGGAATTATGACAAACGAGACATCAACATAACATTAGACATAATGTGGTGATCTACAGTGTCAAATGCTTTGGCTAGGTCAATAAACAATGCAACACATATAGATTTGTTATCCAAAGCAGCCTTAATATCGTCTAAGACTTTCAGACCGGCAGTCACAGTACTGTGCTTTGATCTGAATCCAGATTGCATAGGGTTAAGGATGTTGTGTGAATTTAAAAAAAGTTTTAGCTGAGTAGAAACTAGGGACTCAAGAATCTTTGATAACGCAGAAAGATTTGAGATAGGACGATAGTTATTTAACTCGTGGGATCACCAGCTTTCAAGAGGGGCAATATCAGAGCTTGCTTCCACACAGCTGGCAGTGTGTGAGTGGACAGGGAGAGATTACAAATATCAGTTACTGGTTGTGCTATAATCTGAGCTGCAATTTTTAAAAAAAACGGGTCGAGGCCGTCAGGCCCGGCAGACTTTTTAGGATCAATTGATTGCAAACCCTGTAAGACTTCAGAGACCGAGAAATAAGCTAAATCAAAAAAGGGGAGTTCATCTCTTGACTAGGGCTGTGAGTACGACCATTTAGAGAGTCATGACTTTGCTCATCAAAAATGTGACCAGCCTTTTTGAAGTGAGCATTGAAAGCATTAGCCATACCATCTGAATCTGAAATAAAAGAATCACTGACCTTCAGTTTTTTGGGAAACTAGAAACCTTCTTGTTCTGAAGTGATTTAATTGTTTTCCAGAACTTAGAATGGTCATTAAAACAATCAGTGGTTAAGCTCAGATAGTAATCAGCTTTAGCTTTTTTAATAAGGGCTGAACATTTATTTCTGAGGACACGAAAAAGAAGCCAGTCATCACTAGTGTTAGACTTTCTAGCTAAGGACCATTGCTTATTTCGATCATGAATTAGATCAGATAATTCTCTAGTAAACCATGGAGTGTTCCTATTCTTAACTCTGAATTTTCTAAGGGGGGCATGTCTATTAATAATCGATAAAAAGTGATCAATAAAAATTGGACGGCAACATCGACAGATGGAATTAATTACGCTATGAAGTGCCATTTAACCTCCGCCATCGTGTAGGAAAGCCTGCTCAGAGAAGTGTTTGAAGCAGCGTCTGAGCACAATAAGGCCCTTGGCTTTGGGCAACTTAGTGCTCCTAACGCAAGCAATAGTGCAATGGTCGCTGATATCATTAGGAAAAACACCAACAGACACAAACTTATGAGCTGCATTTGTTAGAATGACATCTATAAGGGTATCGTTATTGGGTTTGGCAGGGTTTATTCTAGTGGGACTATCAATAAGCTGAGTTAAGTTCAAAGAATCACAAACCTGCTTAAACTGTGAAGATTTATCCCTCAACCAGTCCCAATTTAAATCACCCAATAATATGATTTCAGCATTGTAGCGCTTATGGTTAGCTCGTCTCAAAATCATTGTTTTTTGACAAATTGAAGATTTTTCATGTTTTTATGAGACATGAAATACGTCAGTATATATCGTATATATCCCACTGGTGAAGCTATTATTTATCTTAGAGACAACCGTTGCTCACAAGTGGCTAAATGAGACTACTAAACGCCACCACGCCGAACATTAGCCGTCTTTAGCAAAGCGCTGTCGTCGTGGAGTAATGTAGTTTGTTATAACCAGTGTTGGGCAAGTTACTTCCAAAATGTAATATATTACATATTACTTATTACTCTCTTTTGAAAGTAATAAGTTGCATTACAATATTACTGTCTCTGAAATGTAATGAGTTACACTACTTTTTAGTTACTTTTTAGTTACTTTCACCAAAATAACCGCAAAAGAATGGCTAGGTATTTTAATGCTAAAATGTAGTAGTTTAGTGCAGCTCATTATCCATCCAGTGAAGGGCAATGTGGTATAGCATAACAACTGTGTAAGGCTACTAACAACTTGTATTACACGGCTTAGTTGAATACTCGATTCTGATCTTAAATTCTTAACATGTGACACGTTGTTAATACAGCAGTACAGACCACTGTCAAGGACTATAATGAAGGTTGCTAAGGAGGGTCAAGAAAGAGAAAGCAAAAGAGGTTAAAAGACGGAGCGCTGGACGTCAGATAAATCACCAGAAGAAGGCAGACAGGAAGTAAACAATAACAGGACACGGAATGGCTCTGTATTTTGTTTAGTATATGGCCGTGTACAGGCCCGGTTCCAGAACAAAATGACTCAGGGTGACTCTGAGATTACAGGGGGCGCAACAGTAGTAGGTTTATATGAGCAACAGTGGCCGGCAACAGCAATGAAAAATAGCATTGATGGTCCCCATGAACAGATTATGGCCTTTGTTATGTTTTGAAACCAAGCAAGTGAGAACATTTCAAGTGTGTTAAAAGTGGCAATTCTGACAATTTAATATAGTCCAAAGTGGACTATGGCAAAGAAAAGCACAAAAGCTTCAAACTGTACTGATAAAACAAATGAGAACATATTGTAAATCAAGGCACATATTATTTAAACCAGCTCATTTGAAATGGCAAGTATTATTAAAACCATGTAGCCTACTACATCATCACCTTGGTCCCATCATTACTCTGGGAAGAGAATATTTACTGTCCTTGAAAACTGGTATCACATCATCATGTGAGGTTGACTTTGTGACCTGGAGAACATTTCAGCTGCAACATTAGCTTGTTGATAAGCTTGGGATATGAGATAGTTTTGTAGCCATTCGTGGTGAAGGCATCTGTGCTATTGTATGCATTATGTTTGACCAAACATTTCTACAGGCATGGCAGAATATGGCACTATTTTCACGTGAATATTCTAGCCCTTGTCTATTTTTTTTTTTTTTAATTCTTTATTTATTTGGGGTCACATTATAATACAAGTACAGTTTTTCAAATCATATATTTTTAGAGACCCGAAGCCCTTGTCTATTTTTATACCACGAGCTGCAAATGACCGCCTAACCCCACTGTACACGGGGGGTACTTGTTTAGATATACCTGGGCAGGCTCTGTTCTGCCGTGGTATCCTGGCACCTGCGGGCCGCAGAGGGGCGGCGTAGTTTCGGCGACGAACACTGCTGCTCCGGGGTTGAGGGCGGCGAGTCAGGCGGGAGTAAAGCTAGTGTCCACAACGGAGGGTAACGTGATGTCCCCATCTGACCTGTTGCTATCTGCAGTAGATGCAGTGTTGCTGGCGTTAGTGATGGATGGTTGCTTTAACCTTTTTCGTATAATAATTATCCACAGATGTGTGTCACTGCTGTGGAAGCACTTTGGAAATGATGCACGCGCAGCGGAGCAGGTCACGCGCACCTGACACAATTTTGTTGTTAGTATTTTTCGCTCCGTTCTCTTTTGAATAGAGGGTGCATAACATTCAACTGCCCCGAAGATCCCGACGCGACGCTTGAAGGGTAAACACCAGGGTTTACTAATCTACCCGCACAATTTGTCTGGTGTCGGAATGTCTCGCTATGTTAGTACATTCTTAAAAAACAAAACACCATTTAATTTCGGGTTAAAATGTTTTGTAACTGCGTTACTGAGCATTGTAACTGGTAATATATTACCCACATTACTTCGTTACAGAAAAAAGTAATATATCACTGTAACCATGTTACTTTTGTAACGCGTTACACCCAACACTGTTTATATACATATATAGTTGGGTGTATAGGTGTATGTATATATATATATATCTGTGTATATGTATGATTATATAAGCATTTTCCCTTTGAAGGTGGTGACATTCTGGTTCCTGTCGAATACAAGAGTGTGAGCAAATGGGTCAGGGTACCAAAAGTAGAGGATGTCTACAATTACTCTGAATTCTTACAAGGAGGTAATTAAAGTGTCTTGCGTCATAGTTGCTTTCAAGAGTTTCAGTGTGTATGTTTAACTTGTGAGTTTGATATGGTCCAAATTATCCTTTGTTTCAGTACTGGCAAAATTCAATTTGCCAGGTTTGACTTTCTCGATGCTAAAGGATTCTACAGGAGTGGAAGTGGATTCTGACATCTTTGATGAGCTTTTGAATTCATCTCGGGTGTCTTTCAAGGCCTTCACTGAAGAATGCAATGGATAACATACAAATTAGAAATGTACTTCTGGCTATTGAATTTACCCTTCAAGGATTATGCAAGTGGTGTTAATATGTGGAGATTATCCTGCTGAACACAAACATGTAAGTATTGTGTGGTTGCCACATAATCCACGAGAAAAATACGATTTGTTTTTAATCGAGGGAGCCATTGTGATGCTAACTTTCAGTTCGGACAGTTAGCACACTCTATTTAAACTGATCAGCACGCAGTTAAAGTAAAATGTCTCTCCAGTAAGTAGCTTAGCAATTGCTAACAGTATCTTATTTTGCGGTGTGCATTTAGGAGCTAATCAGGTGAGGTGAATGGCCCGTGAAGTTCATCCAGAATGCTTCCACATGGCCCAAACAGATAAACCCACAGCTTGTCTCGTCTATATGAATGACAATTTTCCTTCCATAGACTATAAGCTGTGTAAAAACTCCACATTACATTCTAATTGTAGACAGCCGTGTTTTTACACTGGAAAAGAGACAACATTATATATGCTCAGAAAGTCGGTAAGCATGGTTGTGCTATAGACAACATTTTTAAAAGTTTAAATCTAAAAAAAGAAAATCTGAGTGTGATGATGTCTTCTGGTGCACCAATTCTACAATTTCCTGTCAGGACGCTGGATAGTGTAATACTGCTGGACATTCATTTAGGCTGATGAAAGCCAGATTCCCTACGAAGTAGACGGCTCAAAAGACAGAGTGTAAGGTATGATGATTCTATAGAAGTTTTTAGATTATGACGGCACATGTGATTTGAAAGGTATCAATATAAGATTTTAATGTGGACCTCTAGTTCACATCAAAAGTACCTCAGTAAGGATAGAATAGGAAGGAAACATCCATAAAGCAGTGGTGTGATTACTCTCCAACATTTTATAACAGTCAAATTGCCTCAGATATCTCATGTTTTTTGATAGATAAACAAATCATTCAACTGACAGAAGTCAATATTTTCAAACCCCCCCTGGATGAAATCAACACAAAGTGATGATGGTTTGGTCTCTCACCTCTCTCGCTGACACTTTCAATCTCTGCATCCTCACAGCTGCTGTACTCCGGCGTGGTCCCCCCTCCTCCTCTGAGCTGCTGACGCTGGTCTGCCTCTTCCCCCCGCCCCAAGCCCTCGTTTCGACTTGTAGGGTCTTGGAGGGGGCGGACGCAGTGATTCCGATTGGTCAGAGCTCAGCGAATCATTGCGCAGCATGCTCTCAGCCTTCTCCCGTTTGGTCCGTCTCCCTACAGGCCCCTGGCCGGGGGTCGAGCCAGGGCCCAAACCAGGAGGCTCTCTGAGTTCAGGGGGAGGGGGCTGCTGAGCAAGGGTGTGTTCATGTGGCCCTCCAACCCCACCCGCCGTCCTCTTACCGGGCCGTACACCGTCCCCAACCTCCCCCCCTGCTACACCCATGCCACGGCCCTGCATGGGCACAGGGTGACCCCGGCCTCCAGGAGGGACCGGCCCTGCTTTGCGAGGGGGGGCCCGCTGTGATCCATGTGGTGGTAGCCCCCCTCTTCTGTCCGTCTTAAACCTTCTCCCACAGGATCGTGCTCTAGAGAGCGTCCCTTGGTCAGCCGCCGGCTCCTCGCGCTCTCTGGACTCCCCCCGGAGGTCCCGGTCCATGGAGACCTGGGTCTGCAGCCTGGGCTGGACCGCCCGCCGCTCCCCCCGACCAGCTCCGCCCCGGCCATTTCTCCTGGAGATCAATCGATATATAATGGAGAGGAAGAGAAAATAATAAATGGGAACTGTAGACAGAACAGTATCTTTTCAGGGACATCATTGAATACTTTATTTACATGCTTGGATAGTAGATGTAAGATTAGCTTACAAAGAAGGTTAGTGTTTTTGATGGCCCTTGTTACCAACAGAGCTGTGGACTCCAGCCACATGATGGGCTCAAACTCAAGTCACAAATTTGATGACTGCGAGGGGGGGCACTTTAACATCAACTCAAAAACGATTTGCAACCGCTGGTGAAAAGTTACTTAGTACATTTACTCAAGTACCGTACTCAAGTACAAATGTGTGGTACTTTGCTTGAGTACTTTCTTTCTCTGAAACTTAATAATTCTACTCGACTTCAATTAAAAGGGAAATATTCTACCTTGTACTGTACTTCTACATTTTTTATTCAGATTTAGTGACTTTAGGGATTTTTAAACTACAGCAAACATGAAGAACTTTTAAAAATACGATGTTTTGATGCAGATTAAACTATACGTTATATTTAAGTACCTAAAACAAAAGGTGATTTTGGTAAACTGTTTATTTTTTTTTCTTACAAAACATTTCATAGTTTCAGCTTCTCCAATGTTAATATTTGCTGATTTTGTCTTTCAATATTTTATTACATGTTTAATATTTTGGGGGGTTTTTTTCTGCAAAATGTTTTCTGGAGTACTTTTATTCCCAATACTTGAACTACATGTCCCTATTCATACTTAAAAACGTTTACTTAAGTACAATTCTCAGTGCAGGACTTTTAATTGTAATGGAATATTTGAACAATCCAGTATTAGTACTTTTACTTATGTAAAGGATCTGAATACTTCTTCCACCACTACTTGCAACATAACTTGGACTTAACTTGTGAATCACTTGGACTTGAGGCTTTTGACTGTAAAATACTTGAGGCCAGAGCCTAAAATCAACAAATCTCCCTTCATTACCTAAATAAACTAACATTGATATTGACAAGTTGACATTTAATTCCCAAGATCCATTTTGTTTGATCCATCCAGTCAAGTTGCAGGAGGGAACCATGAACTAATGTTATCTACAAGAGCATTCTTCAGTTGAAAAAACTCACGTCAAATTTGACTTAAAGAACTCAAAAAATCTGCGTTTAATGCCTGGGTCTGGACCATAGGGTCTGGACTTGGGAATAGCATGTCTTGACTTGGGACGAGAGACATGAGACTCTGGTTCCTCCTATATAACAAGTTACTGCAGTGTGAATCATGTCGATAGCCATGAGAATGATGCGAATCATCATTATTATGCATTTAGTATCAGCAAAATACATGAGATCTACTTAAGGACATTATGTGAGAGGCCCCTGTTACTGCCTTTAGCTTCTACTTTCATCTAAAACATATTTACTCATACTTTGCAAACACCAATGTTGTGATTGTATATTTCCACTGATAGAGAGTCACGAGTGACAACACATCCCCATCCAGTGTTTTGGAACCGGCTGCATTCTTCCATTACACTCAGAGACTGCTTGCTTAAGACATAGAATGCACTACTGCATAAAAGAAGCAGATGAAGAATGCAGGAGATAATGCTTGAAATGCAAATGTTTACATATTCATCAAGGCTACAGTTCTTTCTGATGGCTGAGAGGCTGCAATTTAAAGGGGCACTCCACCAATTTCACATATCACAGTCACTTTGTCATGGTTGGTCCTATTCTGCCTTGTATAATCATGTATTTGTGAGAAAGTCAAACCTCATTGATGTCATATTGATGTCACTGTGGTTTGGAGACTGCTTCTTTCTGAGCTAGGTTTTGAAAGATGCAAGGCAGACTAGGCAGGGAGGGAATTCAGAATGACGCTATTCAGTTGCATTATGGAATTTGTAGGGTCCATTGTGTTCTGGGGCTAGACCTATAAATAGCACTGAGGATGCCAAAATTCATATAAGGTTATTCTGGCGTTTTTTGTCTCTAATTAAATTGATATCTGGAATGACTATTTTGTTACAGTGTTTAAGGGACAAATAAAGCTGTATTGATTGATGATATAAGGTTTCCGTCTCAGTCTTGCTTCAGCTTACGTGTCTCGCGTGGTGGTTCGCTGCGGGATCGGGGGGTCGATGCCAGGTTCGGTCCCAGGGGCGTGGGGTCCTTTGGGGTCTTGGATTGTGGAGGGCGCTTGGGAGCGAGACCGAAGCTTTTGGCACACAGACGGCTCGCATGACGGCTGCCCCGAGGCCAGCAGGGTTCCCATCCGGACCTGTGAACCACTCGCCTGGCTTGGTCAGGATCTCCTGCTGCTTCCGGCAGTTATTACACACCAGATCACCTGGTTGAGAAGGAACATGGGTAGAGATTACATTTACAGCTACGTGTTGGGACACAGGTTTCCTATAGGATAATGGCACATTCATGTTAACATAACATGACAGAGAGTAGAGTGGAGCAGTAGTGAGATATTTTGTAGATGGACCCAGAAGGATATCGCCAGGGCTCAAGGGCTCCCCGGACAAGGCAGGTAAATCTCAACATATTAACATCCCTTTTATAATGTTTTAGTGATGATGTTTAGTAGCCTCATTTAGCCACTTGTTAGCAACCGCTGTTTTTAAGTTACATAGGATCTTTGGACATTCCCAGTGGGGTATTATGTGATGATATTTTGCGTAGAAAATGAGTACACATTTCTAAACATTGTTATCTTATTTCAGGCTTCCAAAAAAAAAAAGAATTCATAACAAAGTTGAACTTCGAAAGGAGGTGGGGAAACTGGAAGTGGTAAAATCCTATTTATTTCTGGGTTTTAGGACTCATTCCTGCACCACTCTATTACACAATTAGAGTTAATGTGTCCAAGCTAAATTAAACCAGCTGTCATTAATATCAGTATAATGCTTCCAACAGGAAGGAACTATTCTTTTGTAACAGCCAGTAGTAAAAACCATCTCAGCACAAACTCTGCCAACCACTAATCAGGCACCCGGCTTCATCGCAATGACTTTGAAACAGGAAATGGAACAATTTACTTCCTAAAGAGCCTCATTGCTGCCAATGTGTGGTCCAGGAAGGCTTTAGTGGAAGCGTTTTAAGATCAACATCATGGCAGTTACCAGGGAGCAGCTTGGCTTTCACTGTGGGCTGCTTCTGGCCTCCAAATGAAGCGTACAGAGCCAACTGAATAATGAAGGATATTTGCACGGCCAAATAATATCTGTCGTTTTCTTTCTTTCTATTTGTCCTATCACACATATGCACATCGACTATACATTGGCTGTGTTCACTCACTACAGCTGAGTGTCCACATTTCAGAGCTTTCAGATCAGTGTGTGTATCAACACATTGTCTGATACGTTAGAAACAGAGCAGACAGTTAAATGCATTTTATCTGGAATTATTCACCATTCATGCACTTTTGTCTCCAAGTTAAAGACAAATAGTTTGAAGGACTGCACTGCCACATCCCACATCAAAGAAAGGCCCATCGCCATTAGCTGTGTCAGATGTCAATCATTCAACAAAGAAGTGTACTTATGGGTGTGGCCGGTGGAGGGCGATTCTCAGAATTGTTGAGACATTTGCAGAGGTTTTTTTTAATCACGCATGGAGGTGAATATGATTTGAAGCGACACTATGCAAAACTCACAAGAAACGCCTGGCTCATGAAGCTAAATGTTGGTCTATGCGGGTAGATTCCTCCTGAAACCAAAAGACGATTACAAAAACGATGAAGCAACAGCGTCTGAAAAACCAACATTTAACACACTGAGCAATCAAGTCAGCAGCCTGTAAGAAAAATGTGGCAATTTTTCCAGACTCAGATATTGCAAAGAATACGGCTGTGTTTGTGGAAAACAAATCCATTCAAACAGAATATATTCATTGTTTTACTTGCATAATTTGGACACTTTTTTTTTTTTCAGGGTTGGTTGGATTTTGTATTTAAATCTCAACTAACTCTTATCACCGCAGTAGTATTCCCGTATTGTACCGTACAAACATACACTTTGTCCTACATGTGGCTTGTTGGCACCTAGTCACCCAATACGCAGCACTACTTCTCATATTTTCGGGGGGGATGCAGTCCCTCCCTCCAGCCTCCAGGGTTCTCGTTACTCCTGAACACTCCCCAATGACTCTTTAAAGCGAGCTAAAAAAAACACTCTGGCATCAGCCACCCTCCACACACACTCTCTCTCTCTCCACCCCCCCCCCCCCTTCATCCTGCTCTCCCTCTTTCAGCCCCCTTTCCCTCTTCCATTTCTTCCTCCTCCAGATTGCTTTTGATTAAAGCTAAAAGCTGAGGAGAAAACAGCTTTACACCAACGCAGCTATATTTATCCTGCCAAACACCCCGGCACCACCAGGGAGAGAGGGAAAATGTGGGTCCGCCACATTAAGTGCTGTTCCAAACCAACGAGTGTGGAGGGGAGTGGGTTATCAAGCTATCAAACAGTGAGTCTGCAGCGGTGCTGACTGGAGACCGGTCTCTACCTGACCGGAGTCACGCTGTGTCCGTCCGTCAGGAAACACGCTATTTAAGTAGTTCCAGCAAACATCCACTGATAAACTGCGATGTTAACAACCTCATGATAACCTCATATGTTTTTAACTTAGGATCATACCTGTGTTTAGTCTAGAAAAAGGTAAATGTGTGCATTTTATTATAAAGTTGTGTATATTTACAGACCGTTGCAAAAATTAAGCTTATAAACATCAGGTTTAAAACTAATTAAAGATGTTTGGAGTTTTATTTTAGTTATTCATTTTTATTTTTTTGTCAAAGAGATGCTGATTTGAAACCGTTGTTACATACAATTACGGAATTTCCTGTTTCTGCCGGAGAGGGGGAGGCCGTCCCAAAGCTTGCCGCTGTATTTACTCCCTCCATCTGACGGGAGGGAGCCTTCGCCATTTCCGTAACTGTCTCCATTCACGTTGGTTTCTAAAGCGTAAGGCTCAAGGGTTGAATCCTACCTGATTAAAGGGACTTCTGGAGGCTGGGGTCTAAATCCCACTCATGACAGAGATTTATTTTGTGGTGTAGAATTAGCAAGTTAAAGTCCCTGAATGACCAAGAGGATTGCCCTAGACTAGAGCAAGGCACCAGACCCCACACTGCTCTAAGGGTGCTGTGTGCAGTGGTGAAAAGTAATTTGAGGTACTCATACTTTACTTGAGTATTTCAATGTTTTGCTCCTTTGTACCTTTAGTTACTTTGCACATTTGGATTAATGATGTGAGATATAATCAACACTTAAAAATACTTTAGTTTCACCTTGTGTAAATATTAACAAGCTACCCTGCAGTATACAAAGTCATTAAAACTAGCTGCACCTTATACATTGACACTTAACATTAGGAGACTCCAGTTGAAAATGATTCAATGACCTCCCTTTGTCAGAGTTAGTAGTGTGACAGTAAATAATAATGTTACTTGGCAATACTGAAAGAAAAAAAGCTCTTACTAGTGAATTATACCAGGAATGTTGGTAAAACATTACCACAAAAAATAAGCAGCACTGAAAAGCAGCATCTCATGGGGCAATTGTTAATAATAAAGGGTTAGTATTGATCGGAAATGTCCTAGCCCACCTGACAAATAACCTGCACATTTCTTGATAATCAATTGTCATAAATGTTTCATGCAAAAATACCAGAAAATGTTGACATCAGACCCTTGGAGTTTGGAGATGGACTGACTGAAAAAACAGTCAGCAATTAAAAAGATGAATCTATAATATATTGTGCAGATAAATTAATCACACATATTTTTTAAAGTTACTCATTCCCTACAAAAAGTTAGCCTTCCAAAATTACAGTGGTCTATTATAGAAATAAAGCCAAAACAAACCACATGACTTCAATCATTTATTTAGAAAAAACATTAACAAAGCAATATATTGTTCTCCCTAACATATATAACCACATTGGGAATATGTATATAATAATATAACTTTGCCTTCTCCAAACAAAAAGGTGTCTTGTAAACACCATATCCATATTCTGCAATACAAAGTCAGCAACTCACAAGGTAACTGGAATAATGAAAGTTAAGAGAACTTAGAATTTAACATAGAATGAACACAATTATTATGCCGTTCCTCTGTGCTCATGCCATTCGGTGAAGCAATTCCTGTATGGCATCAGACACAGCGGAACCTCGCAACTCTGGCACATCCAAGACGTCTTCTGGCGCTTCCCCCGGTCTCTGCACAGGCTGCACTGCACATTCCCAACAACCTGGTACCACTTGGTGGGCTTGATGACCACAGGAAGGTGATTCCATGATGTTCCGCTTGGCCTGTATATCTTTGGTTTGCTCCATGCCGGGTACCTCCTTCGTATGTATCCCCTTCGGCTACAATAGTGGCAGCCAAACCTGCATTGCCCGGAAACAGGTCTTCTGAAACCACAGTTTTCTCTGTAGTAGTTTGATGCAGCAGCTCCCCTGGCCCGTGGACTTCTTTGGGGTGATGTTGCAGGGGGAGAAGGTGCAGGAAACAACAATTGTTCTTCCTTTGTATCTACAGGATCCTTCTCATCTGGACTGAAACTAAACATACAGGCAAGGCGGAAAGGCAGGAATTTAATTTAATATAAAACTGTAACTGGCATTGCAACAAGAAACTTCTTCATATGCTACGACAAAAATAAATGCAGGCAAAATATACTTAAAGTACCAAAAGTACTCATTATGCAGATTGGTCCATTTCAGAATAATATATTATATGTTTTAATTATAATTATTGATCATGTAAGTGTTATCAAAGCTGGTAAAGGTGCAGCTAGTTGTAATGACTTTGTATACTGCAGGGTAGCTTGTGAATTGTACTCAAGGTGTCAAGACCTTTAAAGTGTTGATTCTATTTCCCATCATTAATACTAATTATTAATGAAAAGATAATAAAGAAATAAACTAAATGTAGTGGAGTAAAAGTACATTGTATACCTCTGAATTGTAGTGGAAGAGAAGTACAAAGTAGCAAAAACAAATATAAATACTTAATAAAGTACAAATTGCTTGAAATTGTACATGAGAACAGTACTGCAGTGAATCTAATTAGTTACTTTACACAACTGTAAAGAGCCACGTGACGCTAATAATATAACGGTGGCGTTTACTTAAAAAAAACATGCGTAGATGAAGGTAGCCTACTGCTAGCTAGCCAGAACATGCAGTCATTTCACTTAATTACGAAAACGTCAATTCCACCTGTTGTGGGTAAATGTAACACACTGGAAATGTGCGTTGACAAACTCACATTTCTCCCAGCTCCCTCGGTGACTCACTCCGTGATACCCCTGGAGAATTCTGCATGTCAGTAGTACTGTATTCAAACCGCCTCTCGGTGTGGCGGACGGCGTAGCATTCATCCCATGTGGGGTTTTCAGATATATTGTCCAGAAAAATTCGAAGGTTGTTGAAACGTGTGGACATTTTGGATAAAGTAATCAAGTACAATGCTTGGACTTGCGCGTGTCCTGCTGCTTATCTGACGGATCGACCTCTGACCTGATGAGGTCACTCTTTAAAACATTTTGTATGTAGGCCTAGCTCAGGGGTGCCGAACCAGTTATCCTATATAACCAGGGGTGCACATAACTGGTACGCAGGTACGCATGCGCGGCAACAATCTCAAATGCGTACCGTCACTTGTGTCACAAAGCGCATTTGCATACCGACGTACTTGTGAAGCTTTTCCAGAATGCGGTAGGATCACCGTCTCCATGTGCACAGACAGGGCTGCTGTTAACGTCGGTCTGTACAACGGAATTGTGCCAAAACTACGCCAACCGGCTGCGGAGGAGACTCCCCCCTTCACTGGAGAACTGCGCTAAAACAGCTGATCACAACGTTCACGCTCTGTGGTCACGAAGTACTCCACTGACCGCCCCGTCGACTTTCCTGAAGTACTCCACACTAGCACCCCCCCCCCCACCCCTGTATATAACATAATCTTCCTGTGCCAGAATAATGCACTTGAACGCATCAAAGCGCTGTGATTGGCGTGACCCCATGTGTCGGGGCGTGGCTGGTGGGCAGCAGAGCCCTAGAGAGATAGGGCTCTGGAGCATGGATGTATAATAAGAACTGGATACAGCGTGGGAGGCGGGGCCTCATTCATTCCTATGAGAGCTGCTCGTTAGCGCATGATGATCAAATGGCCCAACTTTTGAGAGAGTGAAACGTCACAGATTACCCAGCATGCCTGAGAAGTACCCGTATGTGCACTCATAGAGCATGCACAACTTTAACCAAAATGCTCGTTCACATCAAGCACGTCAATTTGCGTACACGAAACAGCACCGCGCGTTCATGACAGCATGGTAATGGGTTGTTGTTATCATGGATTTGATATGAACGAGGCGGCAGTTAGCAGCTAGCGGCTAGCTAGTAATGATGCTAATGTACACATCAATCGTTATGTACTTATATTACGCTGTAACAGGATCTAGTGATATCCAACAGAGCTTCATTTAGCATGAAATAATTATTGCACTGTATATATATATATATATATATTAGGGCTGTCAAACGATTACAATTTTTAATCAGATTAATCACAGCTTAAAAAGTTATTAATCATGATTAATCACCATTCGAACTATGTCCAAAATATGCCATTTATTTATGCATATTGTTGTGGGAATGGAAAGATAAATGAAAGAAGGCGGATATATCCATTTAACATACAGTATCTATGTTATTATAACATTTTTCTGCGTGTCAAAATGAAAGACAACCCACACACCTATCAATCATCAAACCGTGGGGTCTTAATTCATTACGTTGTGGTGACACGTTATTGGACATAATTCACCTTGCTTATTGTGTTGCCACACGGACCCTTTAGTGGGGAACACCTGTAGCTTTAGCTGCCATTCCTGCTAGCTCATCAGGCAGAGCAGTGCATGTGTTAACCTCTCTGAAAGTAATGGATAATAAAGATTGGAACTCCATTCTTAATACACCGCCTCCGACTCTCTTTTCACGGCACTACACTGGTGACCCTGACTTTTCCGAGAAAGTTTCCGGAAAATTAACGAACATGGCTGAGCGCGATGTTTTCATAAAGCTGCCGGAATTCTGGGAGCACGGCATGGAGGCATGGTTCGCACACGTGGAAGCACATTTCACCTGCCGACAGGTCCGTGACGGGGACCTAAAATACTACCATGTGGTAGCAGCGCTGGGGAGCTCCACGTCGTCCAGGTTGGTGGGATTCATCGCAGCCCCCCCACATCATGGCAAATATGAGGCGATTAAGGCCCTTCTCCTTAAGACATTTAGCTTATCTGCTAAGGAGAGAGCCCGCGAGATACTTGACATTCAAGGCCTAGGAGACAGCAAGCCATCCCAGCTAATGGAGAAAATGCTAAATCTGCTAGGGGGGGAAGATCCCCGGATTTTATTCACGGAGATTTTCCTGCGTCACTTGCCTCCCCGGGTACAGACGGCGCTGGCCAACACGCCTGTCACGGAGCCCCGTGCTTTGGCTGAGGAAGCGGATCGTTTTTTCCTGGCTACGCAACAGCCCGGGGCAGAGACGTTAGCCGCGACGCTCAGCGGCCCACCGGCAGTCAAGAAAGCGTGGCGGAGGCCGGACACGGCTGTGGCTAGCCGGCGTGGAGACGCCGGAGAGTGCGTTTACCACGCACGTTTCGGGACAAGGGCGAAGAGATGCATCGCTCCGTGCAGCTACAAACCCCCGGGAAACGGAGGGGCCGGCGCTCAGTAGTGGCTTTGAGCGTCTGCGGCACGTGCAGGCTCCTCTTCGTCAGTGACAGCGTTTCGGGGAGCTTGTTTCTGTGTGACACGGGCACTCAACGGAGCGTAGTTCCAGCGTGAGTGAAGACGTCGCCCGTGGGGGGCACGGACCGCGATTGACGATGGCTAACGGCAGTCCCATTCGCACGTACGGCGTGAGGCCTATGTGTTTGTGCATCGGAGGACAGCGTTTCAGCTGGGATTTTGTGACAGCGGACATTCTTTTCCCCTCCTCGGAGCGGATTTTTTGTGTGCTCATGGACTCTTAGTGGACGTTAAGAATAGGCGTTTGGTTGATGCCTTAACGTCAACCAAGCGTTAATATATCAGAGAGTGCGGGGCTGCGCTTGGAGGACGTGGTGTTCGGCGACGCGGGCATTACTCTCCTGTGTGACGTCTCTACGGGCCTGGCGCGGCCTGTCGTCCCTGCCAGCTGGAGGCGTCCTGTGTTCGAGGCTGTGCACGGCCTGTCACACCCGGCGTTAAACCTTCGGTGCGTTTGGTAGCGGCGAAGTTCGTTTGGCAAGGACTGAAAAGGGACGTGAGGACTTGGGCCAGGGAGTGCGTGGCTAGTCAACGCGCTAAGGTGCACCGCCACACGAAGGCCCCGTTGGAGCGTTTCCTGGTGCCTGAGAGGAGGTTTGATCACGTCAACATTGACCTGGTTGGTCCGTTGCCTTCCTCTCAGGGGTTTTCCTACCTCCTCACCATGGTGGACAGAACGACCCGTTGGCCGGAGGCGGTTCCGCTCGTTTCCACATCAGCCGCAGACGTTGCCCAGGCCTTCATTGCAACGTGGGTGTGTCGTTTTGGCACCCCGTCAGACATTTCCTCAGACAGGGGCTCTCAGTTCACGTCCGAGCTCTGGAACGCTGTGGCAGGCGGTTTGGGGGTTAAGCTGCACAGGACTATCGCTTACCACCCTCAGGCTAACGGCCTCTGCGAGCGCTTTCATCGCTCCATGAAGGCGGCCCTCAAGGCCGGCCTTACGGACGGTAACTGGGTCGACAAGCTGCCCTGGGTGATGCTGGGCCTGAGGACCGCACCTAAGGAAGATCTGCAGTGTTCTACAGCGGAGATGGTTTTACGGTCAGCCGCTGAGAGTTCCGGGGGATTTCCTCCCAAATGCATCGGCTCCCTGGTCGGCGTCGGCCCAGCGGGCTTTCCTGCGTGACGCCGCTGAGGCCTTTGCTCCGATCCCTACTACTCAGCACGGTACTCAGGTGTCCCAGGTTCCCGCAGAGCTCCGCTCGGCGGAGCACATGTTCATCCGGCACGATGCGCACAGAGGCCCCCTGCAGCCCCCTTATGATGGGCCTTTCCGGGTCTTGGAGCACGGGGACAAGCACCTGGTGGTCGACCTGGGTGGCAAGGCCGAGCACGTCTCGGTGGACCGGGTGAAGGCTGCTCACCTGGACTTGGACCAGCCTGTGGTGCTGGCTCGACCTCCGCGACGGGGCCGCCCCCCGGCCTCGTCCCCTGTCACGGATTTAAGACCTGTTGTTCCGGTCCCTCCCCTTCCCGTGCTCAGGAGTCGTGGGGGTCGGCGTGTCGTTCCTCCCCGCCATGCTGATTTTGTTTAGTATGAATTCTGGGGGGGCTTGTGTGGTGACACGTTATTGGACATAATTCACCTTGCTTATTGTGTTGCCACACGGACCCTTTAGTGGGGAACACCTGTAGCTTTAGCTGCCATTCCTGCTAGCTCATCAGGCAGAGCAGTGCATGTGTTAACCTCTCTGAAAGTAATGGATAATAAAGATTGGAACTCCATTCTTAATACACCGCCTCCGACTCTCTTTTCATGGCACTACAACGTGTTGATTTCTATCAACGGGGGAGTACTTCAGGAAAGTCGACGGGGGGGGGGGCTAGTGGAGTACTTCGTGACCACAGAGTGTGAACGTTATGATCAGCTGTTCTAGCGCAGTTCTCCAGTGAAGGGGGGGGGAGTCTCCCTCCGTAGCTGGTTGGCGTAGTTTTGGCACAATTCCGTTGTACAGACCGACGTTAACAGCAGCCCTGTCTGTGCACACGGAGACCGACTCTGTCGTCCGGTGATCTAACCGCCTTCTGGAAAAGCTTCACAAGTACGTCGGTACGCAAATGCGCTTTGTGACACAAGTGACGGTACGCATTTCAGAGAGATTACGCACATAACCTGCGTACCAGTTATGTGCACCCCTGTACTACAGCAAAAGTATTCTCCGTCGGGACTTCCTGCAACAACACCACGCCGTTATCAAAGATGTTCTATTGAGAAGACGATCACTACGTGACAAAAGTTTTCAAAACCGTGGCTACTGAAATCAATCTTACTAACTGCTGTCTGTGCAATTTACTCCGCGCGAGTTGGCAGACTTTATTTGCTTCCTTTAACATCATTTTTCATGGTGGGGCTAAGCCATTTCTTGGTATGGGTGTAGCCTACCCCAGCCATACCCTGGCGCTGCCACTGGTGGCACGTATGGGGCGGGCCATTCTGCACATGCGTTAAATGCGTTAAATATTTTAACGCAATTAATTCAAAAAATTAATTACCGCCGTTAACGCGATAATTTTAACAGCACTAATATATATATATTAGTGCTGACTTCAAAATATCGTCGACGACATATTTCCGCGTCGACGCGTCGCTACACACACGTGGGTCACCCAAAGCAACAAGCAGTTCGCAATCGCACTTCAAACACAATGGAGACTGAAACGGCTACCACCTCCTCCTCACAGGATTGCGCACGAAGCCCCCAAACGAAAACATCTCGCCCTA